ACATTACATAATTATTTCTTCTATTAAAAGAATTTAGAGTAACTCGCCTTGATGATTACATTATCACCGCTTTAATCGAATCAGGAAGTAAGTACGTACCTAAAGGTGTTGTTAGGTATTTATATCTATTGGCTTTTTATCTGTGATATCTACTAATTAAAAATGTGCCTGGGTATTTCCAAAGAATTTTTAACATTTTAGGACAAATAAATCGTGATCTACGCGATACCGCATATTGCAAAACCGCAGATTTTTTCATAATGGCCATCATCTTTAGACAGTTCTTTGTCTACACTGTAGCAAAACCCACAACAAAAACTTATATTATCCACCTTAGGTACGTGATAAAGATTTTTTTCTAGGATTTCTATAAAACCAAATATTAGAACAAGTAAAAGTCGTGGCTTTATAGATAAATAGATGGATACTCTTTATTGTTTCCTCCATAAGATTACAATAGTAAACTTATTATAAATACAAACAATTACAAGAAAATATTACACTAAGAAAACAATGGGCGGCCTTACCGCTAAGAACGATCTCTTTCAGGCAACCTTTGGATGGAAAAGAGTAATTATAAACATAATATATATATATATATATATATATATATATATATATATATATATATATATATATATATATATATATATATATATATATATATATTTATAATCGGACTCCAAGGTCAGGAATTTAATTCATGAATCGTATAGTTTATGATGATAGGTCAGTCCGAACATTTTAATTCACTTTCGTTGTGCATACATATTTTTTGTGAAAATGTTCATAAATTAAATTGAATTATTATTCATATTATAATAAAAAATCTGTGTAAAGTTTAAGTATGTTTTAATATAATTAGAAAATTTATGTTCGTAGACGCCCACGGCGTGTCGTTTTGGTTATGACCATATTTTTCGAGAAAAATAATGATTATGTCACTCAGTTAATTTTTTTACTCTGTAAAGTGTAAAAAAGAAAAATAGAATTGTTTTACCTTTACCACAGTTCTCACTTTGAGGTGTCGACAATTTATTCTGTTTGTTAGAGCATGTAATAGACGCTTTCGAGATCTTGGTACTTACTTAGATTATTATATCATCTGATATAACCACAAAATATGTTCAAAATTTGAGTAAATAAAGCCTCCGCATTTTTGTCTTTACCGCAGATACCTAATTATAATATAACTAGCTTATACCTGTGACTCCATCCGTGTAACCGGGATATGTTCACTGACCGAGATAAAAATCTGTGTCCTACTCCATCCCATATAATACGTGTATAACAAATATAAATAGCAAAGCCTTTAATGCCCCAAGAGGTAATAAACAAACAAACTCACTTTCACATTTATGATATTACTCGGATCTAATATTATATTATCTGTGTTCATAGTACCTGCTAACCAAGCTCGTAACTAGACCCAAGTTTAAGGTAGGACAAAAGAAATTTTGGTAGGACAGAAATAATAATTAAGTGACTTCGAAAAAGCGAATGTCAAAATTTCTTGGGGTCTTTTATTTTAAGGTAGGGCATTAGGCCTTTTAAGGTAAGACCTTTTATTATCTCTCAATGCTCCCCCTTAAGTACGGCCATGCTACTAATTAAATTGAAATCCCTCAGTAAAACTATTTTCTCCTTGATTAGATACATAACTGCATCTGTATCTGTATGAAGTCTAGTAGCTATTCATAGATAATGTATAGGTTTTCTCAGACCATCGTATACTACTAAGATTACACCTTTGGCATTTTATATTCCATACGTGACTTTATTTTGTGATTATGGCATTCCAAACATAAATGTGATCCATTAAATCTATTTCAGTAAATCACAAAAAAAAACGTGTTTTATTTATAAACCAAGATAAATGTGAATGAAATATTGCATTCATGACTCACGTGAGGATATCAGCAATAGCAAACGTCAGCTCAATAAACAAAGAGGCTGTTTCGAAAATTTGCATGTGCGTGTTTAGGAACTGTGCTGTTTTACATGTTTAATAATGATAATTATATTAGATAGATATGTAGGTCAATTCGATGACAGAAACTGGATTTATATGAAGATGTAAAAAAAGTGTGATATTTGGATATTACAGTAATTTTTGTCTATATCTGATGGTCTTTCAGCGATGATATTTATTATATTTTTAAGTCGTCGTACTGCAATTTTTATTTATACTTATAAAATCATCAATTAATGTCCAGTCAAAATTACTAAGTATAGATAGTTAAATTTTGGAACATAGATTGATTTTATAACAGAAGCATTCATTAAGAAAACATTTTTGAAAAGAGAAATCACGTCACCACGCGTTAAAAACGCGAGCAACAATATTCAATATAATACTTGTCTAATTTCAGATTTTGCTTTTAATTTCTCTCAGGAATAAAATAGGAATAATTTGATGTTATCCAGAAACAAGGTTCTTTATCTCCTAGGAATATTAAGAGACCTACAACCTCAAAAAAAAAATTTAATTATGATTCATTTTTGGTTATTTATTAAGTTTTGTTAGTCTTTAGTTTAGTTTGGATATACGGTGTATTATTATACTTAACAGAAGAATTAAAGCAATACAATATGTATTGCCTTAATTATTTATACGAAAATAATTAAAATAGTTTTCCAGAATGAAAACCAATTTCAATTGTAACAAAAACCAGTTATTATGATTTAAAAACTAAACTACTGTATCGATTAAGACCAGTCTGAAAGTACATCTTTTCAGATGAAAAAAAAATTTTCAAAATAGGTTTATATCTGACGGGAGATACTTGGTAACAAACACAAAAAATATACCGCCGAATTCAGATTCTCCTTTTTTAGAAGTCGGTTGAAAAATCAGCTTTTCCGAAAAAATTTAACTTGTGGAAAATTGCCTATTATTTGCTCATCATGTCTTTCTCTACAATGTTAAACTATATCTAGATAGTTGATCACTAACACTAACATCTTAATTTTGTAAAAAACTTTGACCCACACATATTCTGTTTGGCAAAAAAAATTTTTTTTTTGATGCGAACTCTTTACAATAGTTTCCTGTATAACCTTGGGAACTGAACTTGGGAATTACCTATACAACGCTGGCATTAATGTTAAACTGCAAAAATAAATAAGACGGCAGCACATAGAAGTCTCACAAAAAAGTAGTGACTGTGCTAGTCTAATGAAAAATAATAAACAAATATAAATTCAATGCACGTAGTTGAAGTATAACTTTACAAGTGCAAGCTTTCTCTATAAATAAACGTTGCTCTTTTCCTTAGTCACCGTGCCCTTTAGTTGGAAATAACATTTATGGTTCGATTTTAAGGTCACGTATATAAATTACTTAACTATTTTATTTGTGTTTACGTACTATTTTTATTTATTTATTTTGTTAACATATGTTAATTTTTTAATGATATCTATATATGTATAACGGGTAATTTGTCGGAAAACAATTTTCGGAAATAACAAACATAGTCATTTCATAAAATTAATATACAGACATATTTTTTTTATACAACTTAGAATGGCAAACAGACTGACGGCCCACCTGATGGAAAGTGGTAACCGTCGCCTATAGACATGAGCAGTAGCATGGACATGACAAAGTATACTGTATCGCGCATGATACCCCCTATGCGTTTCTACTACTATTCCTGAGGACTCAGGACTTCAAATCGAAACACAGCCATGCAACTGGTTCACGGTAGAAACACGAATGGGACAGAGGTACCCAAGCAATCGACTTTTGTACAAAGTCTGGTAATTTATTTATATTTATTTTTATATATATATATATATATATATATATATATATATATATAGGCAATATATTTGCATAATTACCTTCCTTCTTTCACGTCAAGTGTCTTGCGGGGTAAACAGAGAGAATCAAGTGTCAAAGCTTTACTTTGTCGCATTATCCTAAATATTCTTAATTCGTCTACATATTCTGTGTGCAATACACAATATTTACGTCAAAGTTGAATCGATTTTGATAATATTTTTTTGCAATTCTTATTCTCATACTAGTTCCGGCATTATTGAAGTCGCTGTTTTATTTTCGAAGCAAAATCTACTCATTTGTTTATAATATTGTCCATTAAAATTTAGAGGTCTAATTTAAAGTGTAAGCATTTAATGATACCTATACAGCTTACATGCATGTAAAGTGGCTGATAATGATAGTGATTTCGACATGTCGCGCCGGTCAATGTGAAGTCACAGCATCTGTGATTACTTCACAGTACACATACAATATATTGATTACTACACACACCTATAATTCTGAATGTCACTTGTAATTTATATTGTTGCCTGCCAAGGCGGTTCGTATTGATATGATGTTGTAATTATTAAAAATCAACTCGACGGTTTCACATTTTTAAATAATACTTATTCGTGCTCTTAGGAATTCATGAATAAATAAATTAAGAATTGTATATATATATATTATCCAATATTGTTAGTTCCGAGAACAAATAAAATGACTATAACAGAAGTTAACTCGTTTTTTAAACTAAAATTTTATCTACCCAAAACAGACTGTCTTGATCTTGAATTGTGGGGGAAAGGGATTGTTAGCAATGGAGTTTGACAGCCCCATTGCTGGAGGTCGACTTAATAGGGCATATTACTATGCCCTATTAAGTCGACCTCCACGTGGTTCCCCCTGGAAACCATCGTGAACAATTCTTGTAGAATTCGTCACGATAGGCTAACTGACCTTCTTCATCCTCATTTATCATCCATCACTAGTACCTCGCTAGTATATACCGATAGCACAGGCGGGATAACTATTCCATTATCACCCATTAAAAAAAAATCTTGAATTGTACATAAATATACATCTGTCACGCCTGTCTCTTATTAGGGTCGGCTAAAACAATGGATTTCAAAATGTTTCGATTCATATAGACCTCTTTCGCTTCCTCCACATTCAACAATTGCTGTATGTTTTTTTTTTCAAGCGCAATGAAAAATATAATTTATTTTTTCAGATACTGGCCGATTGAAGGAGTTGAGTTTCTCACTGACGCCATTTCTGACGTGTTGCGGTTTCTTCATTATGTACCTGGTGGAGGAACTGGTACATGTATACATACATCACCGAGAAAGGAACAACGGTAACCAGAAACTAGTCCGCAACTTAAGTTTACGAAGAAGTGTACCGTCCCCTACTGGGAATGGCGAGAAGAGCGTCACTAATTCCACCGCTGATCTAATTGAACCCGAATCATTAAAGCGACATAAGGTAATAATACATCAAAATTATCGTCTTCCTATATATTAATCTAATCGTAATCTAGACAAATCAAATTGTTTCGTTGGTAAGCGTATCATTTGAGATCGGCTAGATTGTAACAATTGCCGGGAAACTCGGAAAAGAACATTTGTCCGATCAGAAAATAAAAGCCACTTCGCCTTGGTATCCTAAAATTTTTCTCAATTTCATCACCTACTTGTGTACTAATAAAATGTCATTTTTTAATTTTAATAGTACATATTACTTTTTATCCGCGACTTCGTCCACGTGACTGTGTCGGTATAGGAATAAAAAGTAGCTTATTTCCCAAATACTACGCGTATTATTCCAAATACCATGACCATTGGTAGAGCCATTAAGATACCATGTAGTAGGTACAATCGAACAAACTTACTTTTATATTTATAATAATAACAATATCTGTAACAATTTGCAAATAATAAGTGCCAAGTATTAGATTATAAATAAATTTAATAATTTGATTTTATATTACAGGATCCAGAAGTAAACATTCGGCACGATCATTCACATCACCACCACAGTCATGCTCCTGTCGTCGATGGCGACGATGTGACGTCAGCTCTACGTGGCTTGCTCATAGTATTGGCCCTTTCCATTCATGAGCTTTTTGAAGGCCTAGCTGTTGGCTTAGAATCTAGCACTTCGCATGTTTGGTACGCTCTAGCTGTTTTTCTATGTAAATGTAAAATACGCCATCTGTTATTGAGTAGTAAAACTATCAAAATTTTTTCTTATTAGATAGTGTGAAATAAATTCTGTCAACATCAGCGCAAATATTTAATAATAGATGGCAATTTATTGAAGGGTAAATTTCATAAGCAATTTCACATAATTATTAAAAAAAAAAATGTTTTAAATATATTTTAACTTCTGATTCAAACAATAATAAAAATATTTTATTTGATTATTTACAGGTACATGCTGGGCGCAGTTTCCGCGCATAAACTTGTGATAGCTTTTTGTATTGGTGTGGAACTCATTGCCACTGGTACCAAGACCTGGTTGGCAGTAGTGTACATAACTACTTTCGCCGTGGTTTCACCCCTGGGTATTGGCATTGGTTTGGTTCTGGTCGGAGGAGAGGGAGCCACTGCTGCTGGGGTCTACTCAGTCGTACTACAGGGGCTAGCTTCGGGCACCCTTCTCTATGTGATATTCTTCGAGATATGGAAAGGAGACAGAACCGGCATACTCCAGTACATTGCATCTATTGTTGGATTTTTCCTCATGTTCGGACTAATGTTATTAAGTGAGTATTTTTGCTTCAATATATTCAATATTCGTATTGTATCTACTTAGTATTAACCATAGGAACATTTTACAGACATTTCATATTTGTTTTTTTTTTTTTTTAATTTATTAAAAGGTATACACAACAGGTTACAATCAATAACATTATAAACATTTATATAAAGATAATAGTTTGAACTAGATTGAGACCCAAACAGGTGTACACACAGCATGGTTAAAACAATTGGCAAACAATGTTAAATTATAAATTATATAAAGAAAACATGTTGTACTTAAGTACTTTATACAGTAAAAAGCATTGCTAAAAAAATTATATATACATAACGACTTAATTGATGAAATATTAATAAACAGGAATAAAAAAAAATAGATATATTAGTCTATAGTCGTTTTTACTTCCATGGTATGCCATCCATCATCATGACAAAATACTAAGAATATTTCAGTACAAACCTAAGCCTAAACAATAGAAAACGAAATATTATATATAATTTTATCTATCTTAAGAGTACGATAATGGAAACTTGACTTCAATAAACAATTTGTACGGGCTTTAACGTTAACCCGTTAACCAAATTTTTGATAATAAAAAAGGTACTTAATGTTTATTTTTTATTTATTTCCACAGCGGGCCACTCCCACAGTCATTCGCATGGAGAAGACGACCATCATCATGGACATTCTCACGATAAATGAAATTTTGAGGATATTTTCTCGACCTAAATTTTATAAAAAATTTACAGAGTGAAATCGAAATGATTATTATTTAAGGGAGTGTTCTACTACTGAAATTGAACATTTTACACAAAGAAAGACGGGTCAGAAATGACAAAATAATACTGAGAATTGCGATTTCACTCGTGTACATTAAATTTATATTTTTTTATATAAAGACCAAATTATAATTAAGTACCTTGTGATATTTAATTACCATAGTGTAATATTAAGCCACTTGAATTCACAATTAATAATAGAAAGGCATATATAAGATAGGCGACCCAAATGCGTCAGCATAAAAAGAATAAGCGTGCCATATTTTCAAAAGCGATATTGATTGAGAACAGAACAAAAGAGGTACCTACTTATTTACAAGTAGGTGCATTCCTTATGCACATACCTAGACATTCGTAAATTTTTCCTTTTTAAAATTAATTAGTAGACTTCTGTCTAATACAAAAAGCATTATTAAAGTCGTTTTAGAATTGGCCAAAATATCGCTTAACACACAATAATACATGTCGCTTAAAAAGTGGAAATAATACAATAAAGGAGTCTAACATACTAGGAGTATATTAGGAGTATAACATACGTATAGATACGTCATAGACTGGTTATAATGGAAAACCGAGTTCAAGCTCAAAGAGTGAGTATTATGAAAATTAAAGTTTCTTTCTTTTCGCCCTTTCAAAAGAACCTAAGTATTACAACACCATCTATTAAAAATAATCCAAGTAGAGATTTCCATATAAAATTACCTATTTTTAACTTTTGAGCTAAACTTTAGGAGTTTTTCAACTTTTTTTCTTTCAAACCACCCCTGTATTATAGCGAATGAAACAAAAAAAAAAAACAAATCGGTCAAGCCAGGTCAAGTTTTGAGTTTTAGCGAGACTAACGAAAAGGAATTTACTTTTATACGTATAGATATTATGATTTCAGGGTGAAAACCGTCTAGCGTCTATTATTTACAAGTTCAAGGTCATAAGTCACAATCGCAAAGTCAATGCGCTTTCAGCACATTGACCTGGGGGCGTAGAAGTTTTTATTAGTAAGTAGTTAAAATTGCAAGTGATAAAAAAGTTGATGGTTCAGTCCACAGAAAGTGAAATCGGTATCTATTATTTGCTATAAATATATTTTTTTAAATGTTACAATTAACAGAAAACAACAAATAGCCATAAACATTAATAATATCATAGATATTACAGACCGATAATATACTAAATTGTTTATGGTATTCTAAATTAAATAACTTCTTCATCCTCAATTTCACCCTGTAATTCTAACATATCTAATTATGTAACATTAATTATAGTACATTACTGCAGTGGCCAGCAACTGAGGCATTGATAGACGAACGTGCAAATGTGGGCCGAGGCGTCGCCGAGGCACACATACGTGAGTCCATCAATGCCTAGTTGTGGCCAAGGCTTGTATAGTACTTTTCTCAAACAATGCGCGGAAATCAAAAACACAATTTTACTTTTTAAGTTCAATGACGAATAACGAACAATAATAATTTTTCACGCGCCATAATGTTCCTTTTTTTTCAATAAACAGCTTTCTATTTGCAAGCTAGTTCGAAATTTAATTAAAACCTTGTATTAGTTACATCCTTGGTAGCCATGTTTCGAAATAAAAGGTCATTCTATTTTTAAATTACAGGACAGATATGAGTTTACATAGTAATTTATCTGGCCGCAAAATACGACAAATATGGATTTTCATACAACTTTTGGCGGCCGCTGCCCGCATGTATCTAGCCAGTACGGCAATTTTGTTTTATCTCAAAGAAGATTGTCAAAATAATGCTCACATTTCCAAGCATGTTTGAGAAAAAACTATTTTTATAACATCATCTACATAAATTCAAGTTCTAGCCTACTTAGATTCTACTTGTTGTTTTCGTTGTATATTGACATTATTTTATAAGAAATTATTTTACTCTGTTGAAGATGAAGATTGTAACAATCTAGTCATCCATTTTAAGAGTAAATAGTAGGTGAGAATTGACAATAATATATAAAATATTACATTAAACATACTATATATGTAATTGTTATATCTAATTAATGGTAGAAAAAAAAAACAAATGCACCTGTGTAGTGTATATAGATTTTTGATTTAAGTGTGTAATGAAACGGGTATCTATATATAAGTGTAACAAGTCGACCAACTTTATAACTTTTTCCAGGAACATAGGTTAATATATATATAAAAAAATATTTTATATCTAGATACTAAATTAATCACGTGATATTAAGTGATTAGCAAAAAAATTTCAAAATTATTTTCCATTAATCTGTATTCCTTGATTTCTTAGTTGTTCAATTTTATAAATACTACTTAAGTATTTCGAATTTGCGTTCCGTTGCACGTATATTGTGTGATTATTTACCTACTATTTACTAAGTATTTTTCTAACTTTTTATTTAAATACAGGATGAAATTGATGTTATTAGCTGTAAGCTGTGGCTTCAAAACTGAACATGTACGCGTCTTTATAGAATACATTAAGATGTTATTTCTTTTTTTTTAACTTTATCTATACTTGTGTATTGATTTGACATAAATTTGATCTTAATGTATATATTTTTAAGGCGTACCATATATTTTTTTTACATACTGGTAACTAGATAACTTCAATTTCAGCCTGTAAAAAAAGTATTTTACTATAAATCCACGGGGCATTTTTAGCAAAAAAAAATTATAGGTACTTAATACTATGTAAATAGTACACGTGCTGTAATGCATATACGATAAATTCTAACATTTTATAGTGTTAAATAAAATTTTGTTATGTAAATACATTAATTTAACTTGTTCTAAATAAGGTGTTTAAAAATATACTTTTATTATTTTCTCGGGATATTAGGAAAATCTTTAGGTATATTACGAAAACTATTTTACTTTAAACTTTTATATTTACAAAAAAATATATATCAAAGATACTTATTCGTTAAAAATATATATCACCCGAACAACACACTCCGAAAACTCGCAAACAGCTTAATTATATTTTTGATACCAGCAGCTTTGTCCATTAAGTAAGATTTTACGTTTACATACGTAAGGAATGCTAATGAATTTGGACTTTGCAATAAGAATTTAAGTAATTAATAATATTTCTATTAGTTACATACAGTAAGACATACCAGTATTTGGAATAATATGCGTTTTTAAACACCACATGTAAATATAAGAAACTATTCTTTTAAGATTAAATCGACTTATAGTGTTATTGTCTGTGATAATATATAAAAAAAATGTATCTAATGTTTAGGTATATAAGTAATGCGATGATTGCTGAAAAGTACAAAATTGTTGCAATTTTTTTTAATAATTACTTACTTATTTAGATACTAATGTGAAGATAGTATAAGACAAAAAAAATATGAAGTTATTTGATTTGATAATAATTGTAATATATGCATACCATATACATTTTTTCCATAGTACTTTTCTATTTGGGCAATAACCTTAAAAATATGGGATATTACCTATTTTATGTGACTTATCTATAAAAATATAATAATAATATTCATGTTTGTAATAATTTTATTGTAAATAAACGGTTATACTACCTATTTAACTAAATGTGTATAATTTATTAAAGATTACTTATAGTTACTACCATTAGAGATTATCTTAATAACTATAATCATTTTTAAGGTTCGTTAATGCGACCCTTCAAAAACAATCAACCGATTTTAATGATTTTTACAAATCTATTGCTTATTCGATCTTGATAGTTTTTGTCCTTGTAAGAAATAAAACAAGTAGTGACAAAAATCGAAAAGGAAATTTTGCGTTGGTTTGGCCATTTGGAGAGGATGAATGAAAGAAGAATTACAAAAGAGGGAGAGGAGGGAGACTTTGTACAAAAGTCGATTGCTTGGGCACCTCTGTCCCATTCGTGTTTCAACGGTGAAGCACTTGTGTTTGCATGGCTGTGTTTCGGTTTGAAGGGTTGGATATGGCGTGAATTTACTGGGTACAGAGGAATAACACCTGAGTCCTCAGGAATGGCAACGCATGAGGGGTATCATGGGCGAAACAGTATACTCTGTTATGTCCATGGTACTGCTCATGTCTATAAGCGACGGTTACCACTTTCCATCAGGTGGGCCGTCAGTTTGTTTGCCATTCTAAGCTGTGTAAAAAAAGAGTAGTATCTACCCTTCCTGATTCCGCCAATTAAATTATATTTTAAGATATAAAAGAGTTTTTACCCCTATACAAGTACGTTAAAATTACTTTTAAAAGCTTTAATTGATGTGTATATAAATATCAGTTGGAATGAAACACTTTTAGATTATATACATAGATAGAGCATCGAGACTCAAAGACGAGTCAACTTTTAGTCAGCTAATTGTCAATTTAGCTAACTCGTTTTTTTTTATTAAATTTCTATACACTTACGCACACAATGTATCTTGACCTATTTATATTTAATTATTTCATAAATAAAACCAATTTTTTGCGCATTAAAAAGGCCCAGAACATATAAGACAAAATAAATATAGAAGTTATAAAGGAATCACTCATAATTATTTATCAAGCAAAATTGTATGAAAAATTTGATCCACTTTTCCTGAAGCATTTGTATGGAGACACTATCTATATATATAATCTAAGTGAATACTGTTCTCATCTATGGACAGGAGCGCTACAGTATTAGCTTCTTCTACTGAACCGCATTTAAAGACGGGCGACTCGAATTATTGATAATCAGTGCCTTACTATTATACTCGACTCACTGAAATTCCCCATGATATATACGACATATTTCTATGGATCGAATACATCATGGGGAATGTTATGAGGAATTATTCGGATTGATACTTGTTGCTAATTTTCACCATCGTACAACCGTCACAAGTTACAGTGTCATCTCTACTCTTTACACCGAGTGTTTTTTAAAACAAGTTTTTCGTCATACAATCATGCTTCGAAATTAATTTCTAGCAGCAGTATTTCTGAACCGATACGACATCGTAACCTTCAAGAAAAAAACATATTCCTATTAAACTTGCAATGCCTCTGATGTTGTGGGTAATCATCGGCGGCGGTAGTTACTATCAGGCGAGCCGTATGTATGTTTGTTATACATATATATGCATATCATTGAAATACTTCATAACCTACATACATAAACTATAGCACAACCATAGATTAAGAATAATATCTGAAATGACAGGAGTCACATTTATTGTCAAATAAATACTGTCAATGCTCAATGGTCTTGTCATCTACTAACTAAACATTTTACATTTTTTTTTATGCATTTTATGGCAATAATTATTGTTCGTGAAATTTCGGTAAAATTAAATAATTGGAGAAAATTTTGAAGTAAAATTTATACTCTTTATTGCACTAAAATATATAGTAATAAAATTTTCTCTAATTCTCTCTAATAAGATCTCGAAGAATCTCTAATAGAGATCTCTTCCATTCAGTCTAATATAATGGCATAGGAAGTAGTGAGTGGGCAGTAATAATATCGAACAGAAACTAAACAATATATAATGAGCGTTGGAAAAATTTGGTATTTATTTTAATAGTTTTGGTCCTTGCAAACCATATGATGAATTGTGTGAATTGAATAAAAATAATACAGTGATTGCAAAAGTAGAGAACAGATTTCTTTCGTCGTTCACGTTGTGATTTTATAGTAAAAGCCAACGCAATTTTGTAATTGGGTAACAATAAACGAAATCATATGGTTATATTTTTTTAACATTTCAAAACAGAAATCGTTAATAGCAACACCGGCAGTTTCTGTCAGTTAATACCAATCTCATATCAGTTATGAACACAGAGTACTTTTCTAAAAGAGTATAATAGACTTTTGTAAATTGAATGACATTTCATTTCATTAATCTTATCTATTTTATTATTGTTTTCTGGCATTTACAAAGTTTTTCTTGTAACATTATCGTTCTCAACGACATCAGTACAAACAGGTACGAAATTTTTTTTAATCATAATATAAACTAAAAGAATCGGAATTTATATAAAATATAAAGTAAATGTTGCAACTTGTACATAATTAGGCTTCTCATAGTAAACAAGTTGTTACGCTGAGAGATAGTGTTATATAAATATACAAATTATTATGTTATTAAAATGCAAAAATGGTAATTCAATATCTAAAAAGTGAAATGTTGCATGATGTAATGTATATAGCCAGTTGAAAGGTGAAATCATTAGGTGGTTAACCTTGTGTCATTGCATTTGAGTAGATGCTAAGCTCTAATAGAAAGTATTTATTTAGTCGAACTGTTTAGTCTCTGTGAATCTGGTAGTTGCTATTAGTGTCGCAATCTAAACCTTTAAAATGAGTTTATTGTTTGGTTCTACAGTGTGTATCACAATGATTTCTGAAAGTGAGTTGATTTTTAAATGTAAACATTTCTTATTAAAACTAATATATAAATTAACTACATAAACAATGCTTAAATAGCCAGTTTTTCTTGTATCATATCAGGAATTTAATGATTTGTAATTGTACAAACAATGTACAGTCATTACATCATTTTTAATGTTAACCAATGGCCTTTAAGTAGTTCTAATTACAAAACCACTTACCTTAAACTAATTCAGACAATTTTATAATAACTTTAAAATGGGTTTTTTTGCTCCTGTGTTTTTAAGTTCCTGTTTGTCTATTTACCTAATTCATAATCTCTATTATTGTACATAATACATCATTGCCTAATATGATTTTATTAGAAAAATATTCACATTCACACTCACATTCACTTATCTATTTAATGTTGGAGATTTATATTTACAAAACATTAAGGTGTGGTATGATACATATGAAATATATGAAATACGGTTACCACTTTCCATCAGGTGGGCCGTCAGCTTGTTTGCCATTCTAAGTTGTATAAAAAAAAAAAAAAAAAAAAAAAAAAAAAAAAAAAAAAAAAAAAAAATATAAAAGTATGAGCAGAGTGGTACGTGATTGTGCACTGTTATATGAAATTTTGTTAATATATATTAATTTCTGTCAGGTGGACATCTACTAATTAACTATATGTTGAGGGGAGTACTTGTTTTACACATAGTCTATATTGAAACTGTAATGTGAGTAATTTCTAAATGGCATGGATTGTTGGAATTTATCATAGAGTTTGTAAATGTAAAGAGGACTCCATTTTCCGCACTTAGCTTCTCATTTGGGCCATTGTGAATTATCATAGATTTTATAAATTAGCTATATGAAATATGATTGATCATGTTTTTTTCTGCAAAATAATAAAACTTTAATTCTTAATTATTTTCCTTACCCAATTCCTGCTGGAAATTCTAAATATGTTTGCAGAAAGTAACAGAAAAAATATTTAACAATTGTTTATTTTGAACAGGTAGTACTCGTACAATCCACAGAATGTCAGCTCCCGGTCTTACATCTGAAGCCCAGCTCAGGTATATGCTGCAGTGGTTTGGAGAGTTCAGTGAACTGCAACGTGAGGATTTCTTGCCAGTACTGGCTGCAGCACGAGGTGATAAACCTGACCAACTAGCAGCAACTCTTGCCAACCTCTCTTGTCAAGATAAGCCTGTCAGTTTGTTTCAATGCAGGGTATGTTTAATATTTATTTAAATTAATATTAAAACTCATTCATCTATTATTATCATTGTGACTTTAACAATTCATTATCATACCATTGCTGGATATCCTATCTAAATTTTAAATATTGATGGAGTAGCTATATCTTGCAGTTTTGCCTGTATAAATCTCTATATAACGTATCCTATGTGCTAAATTGGCATATAACCTACCCATGTACCAAATTTAATTTAAACCTGTATAGTAGTTTTTGCATGTAAGAGTAACATACTTCTGTATATACCTAAAAAGTGTAATGTAAAAAAATTTTGTTACATTTTTATGCTACTTGGAATTGCAAACTAGTTAAAGATCATCCTGATGATGATTAATGATTTTAATGTCTATAAGCAATGTGGTAAACATCATTAAAAACACCATGACATCTCAAAATAAATCTATGTCTACATGCATTGCTATTCCTCAAAAATTACTTAATATTTCAATATCCATAATGTCATTAAATCAACTAAGATGTGTCATCCCAGTTTACTGACTGGATAACAACTATACTGATACAGCTGCTTAAATTGACAGCAGAAATATAAGTGATTTTAAAAAGATAAATTTTAAGTTGTTTATTATTTTAATCTCAGTAAAGAAAACTTCTGGATGTTATCAGTTAATTGTCAGAAATGATAGATATAGTAATTCCATAAAATTCCCATTGTACATATATATAAATATCATTACAAAATTAACATAAGTTTTAAAAAATGTTTTTACTTTTTTCAGATTAAATTATTTAATGAATGGTACCCAACATGGGCTGAGGAAGAACAAGACCGACTTATTAAAGGAGTGTCAGATATGGATCCAGAATTTGGAGTGAAACTTCAGGATCTCATCGTAAACGGCCCTCAGTTAAATGGCGATGTTAATGGTGCGGATGAAGGGCATTCTGCTGAAAATGAGGTAGAAGAGAATGAACCATGGAGGAATGGCGTTAATGAAGAAGGTGTGGAAGGAAATAGTGAAGGTGTCTCTCAAGACAACATTCCTGTTGAAATAGCAGCTGCTTCTTAAAATGAAGGTAACCGGTATAGAGTATTGGTTGGGAATCTCTTGGTTATAGTGTCATGACTAAACTATATTTATTGCAACATATGCAGTTATTAGATTATGCATATGAATTTAGATTAATTAAAATTGAAAGGCTATAATTATTAGGTAATTGTGATATTTTCAAAAGTGTAGAAAAAAATGCCATATTATTCACCTACAAAACTGAAAATGTTAGGCAATAAAAATATGAGCCATTATAAATGAAAATAAGTAAAAATGTGTCAAAGACAGTATATATTGAAATTATATATATTTACAGCTTTGTACATTTCGCAAAGTATACATTTGTAAACTATAGAAATAGAAACATTCCCTAATTAATGCATTCCAATAATATTTATGTACTTAGTATATTTCTTTTTATCTTTTATTATTATATAATTTTCCCTAATTTTATTACTACTGGATTATGGCATCTTTTGTACATTTTTTTTAAGGTTAAGAATTTTTTTTGTATTAATTTTATAATTTCAATATGGTATTTGCCTAAAGCAGAGGGACTATATTGTCTCCGCCTGAACATAGTGTCTAAACTTTATTATTTATTGTAAATCATGTTATAGTTACTTCAAGTCAGCAGTATTAATTGTCAAAATACATTTTAAACATCTAATCAAAAGATTATTTATATTTCCAAATATTTATTAAATGAAGGAAGTTTTATGAAATGAAATCGAGAAATACTACTGATTTTATTTTCTGATCCAACTTTGATTTTTTTTATGAAAACGTTATAATTTGTAGCATAAATATAATAATAATATTAATTTCATACTAATTTTGTAATGTTTGAACTATTTTTTATAAAATAAATTCTTAAATTATAATGCTACTATCAGTACAAATTTGAGTATTACGTGCCAAGATGAATTAATTTTAAACTTGTACAGTTATTTTTATAATTTTCAAACTATAATTTATATTCACATAGGCAATAATTCATTACAAACATTCCATTATTTATTATTATTAATAATCAGTAATCACTTCTGATATGTATAATTATGTTATCTTTAATATCAGATAATAACCAACTGTAACTACTTAGAAAAGAACTACCAAAACATATTTCTACCTGTATTTATGGGAACATATTTTATTATTTGTAAATAAGTCAGTAGTGACTCACTAGTGACTCGGTAATGGAATTTCAAGTGATAAAAGGTGCCCATTGGTTAACCTGGAATCAAGGAGATGCCATTTTATCTATAGATACCTATAATCCTAAGTGATTACTAATATTTACATTTTTATTATTTTATTAAAAGTAAGTTTTTAATTTTATCGTTTTATTTTTCGTCACACCTAAGTCTAAATAATCAGATGTAATTGGTAAAATAATACAGAATTGATTTACTTTAGGAGTCGTTTAATATTACGTGGCTGGCCTAGTTGCACACTAGCTGGACTTACGTCTTCAAAGGTCGTAGATTCAAATATGGTCGACATCAAAAACTTACTGTACCACTTTTAATTTATCAATCGACTTCAAAAAGAAAGGTATTCTCAATTCGGTTGTATTTTTTATATAAATTATATATCAATCTAAAAATTCTTTTTATCTGAAAGTATATTCTTTACTATGCGGACCCTGTTCGATCGTCGCCGCCTGCATGATTTGGTATTTCTCCATAAGATTACGCATCATGATATGGACTGTCCTGAGCTTTTAAGTGAAATTAAATATGTAGTTCCTCACGGTATCCCTAGGTATCCCATCAATAAGATATTTTATGTGCCACTGTGCAAAACTAATTTGGGATTGAGTGCTCCTCTTGCAAGAATATGCAATAACTACAATCATATATGCGGTATAAATCCGGATATAGACGTAAGCCATGACTCGTTGGCAGTGTTTCGCGGTAAGATACTGAAGACCATGTAGATTTGATGATAGTGTCCAGTCTTGATTTATATTTAATTGAATTATTTAATAAAGAATATGTAATTGTAAATTTAATTTATTATATTAATTATATTATGACATTTATATACATATAATCTGTAGTCAATGTTGTGTACGCCTGCTATAGGTATGCATATCAGCATACTACATAAGAAATGTTTTTTAATTTATGTATAATATGTATACTGTTGGTGTGCCTAATTCAGAATAAATAAATAAATATATACTTAGGTTGCTTGTATAGTTTTCGAGATCCCAAATTTTATCAAAATTGATTTAGTCAATACTTCAGTTTTTAACAAAGTTAATATAACTAGTTCTTTCATAATTAAAGTCGGTTTTTTTTTTCATGAAACACGATTTAAAATTTTTGTATAACTCTCCAGTATTGAAATCAAATTAACGACAGTAGGGTCTGTTCTTGCTATATAAAATTCTACGTGTTCGACGAAATTTAAACACTCATCTCTGACTATCCAATTAGGAATTATAATTATAAATGTTTATTTTTATCACTGAGATATATTTTGTGAAAAAGAGAAGAAAAGATACTTGTTCGCTAGCTATAAGAGGGCAGTCTGAGGCACTGGGAGCCTGAAGGGAGGCACCTCAAACGTAACTATATGCTTAAATTCTGACAAAATATCTACAAGCAATTTTTCCCCGTACCCGAGGACTAATTTACTAAGTTTTTTTATCACGAAATTATTGACGGAATTATTCAGATGGCACCGTTTATTCTTCAGTAAATAGATTTTTAACTTCAGTCTCTTTTACATTATTTTATCCCCACTAATTTTAAATATCAGTCAATTTTTATATTTATGGCCGCAATTTTGATAGTATCCAATCCATATAAGCTCCAACTCGGGTATACACTCCTGGCCAACCAGGGGTGCCGCATGGCGAGGGCCCGTACGACACAACGCCTACAGCTATCCAGTTGCTAATTTGAGGGACCTTTCCCATTAGGGCTCCACCGGAGTCCCCACGACAGGAGTCTTGTCCGGAGACGCCGCCTGCGCACATTTGATTATTGGTGATTTGACGACTCACTCTGCTGAACACATTGGCGCAGTCGCTCGTACTAACGACCGGTACACGGACTTTTAACTTGACATCGGATTCCGATCCTGAAAAAAAAATTCATTTACTATACATTTATACAATCATCAAAATATTATGTGCATTCTTGAAGGTTAAAACGCCTATCCATTTTACGCAAATCATGATTAATGTTGTATAGTAGCACATAATATAAACTATTCTGGTAGCAGTAAGTGGTTTGCACTAAGGGCATAAGTTTGCACTAAGGGCATAATACACAATCCTATCTGCAGGATTATATGGAATGAATCGTATCATGACTAGCGTAAAATATTTATTTTATAAAAATAAAGGGCGTTCCTTTATCTTGCCGTTCGGAACCAAGCATGATTCATGCCATGCATGCATTAAAAAAATAAACTGCGGTAGATACTTTGCACTTTAAGCCTACTTAACAGATTTAGTGAAAATTCTGTGTGTTAGATCAAACATATTTATATATTTAACTAATTATTTCAAATCTACAAAATTTATACCTAGATAGATGTATCTGCGAGTTTATTGTTTTCGAATAAACTATTTACATATACCTATAAAATCTTTTTCTCGAGATTTTCACACGTCACTGCGGACTGTACAGTCTGGTGGTTAGGGGATGCCCATAAATTACAGGGATCTTTTCTCATGAATGTCTAACCACCTATTCATTACCCATTAGATGTACTACATCTCATTAATAACCGAGTATATGTGATAAAAGTAGGTTACCTTTAGTTGTAATTTTAAATATTTTTATATGACAGTGAAATATAAATACAATTTGATGAGATTTTGCCAAATTTTATAGCTAAAGTAAGTATCGTAGTACCGTACGAAAACGCCATACCCTAATTGTCGGCTATTCACTCCAGGTATTTGGTACAGTGACCAATTCATTAAAAACAAATTGCTGTCTGTTTAAGCAAATCTTCATGCAAATTTTGAGCAATTAAGCCCTATTATATGTAAATGCACCATTAGCATTATTTTTAAGATCCACTAGCATTGAAAAATTAGTGCGCTTTATGTAACATGGCGGCCCACCTGACTGCGCTAACGTATCGCTGTGAACGGGACTGTCTCCTGTTAAATAATACGTAACAGATTTATGTTTACATGCTCTTATTTTTAATAATTAAAAACCCACTAAACTTACTAAAGGAGATAGGAGGCAGAGGCTGTCTATTGACTTGGTGGTCAAATATAGTCTCAAGATAGAACGTCCTGCCGTAAAAATGTAACAACACCCGACCTTAGACAACGGGATAAGGGATAGACGAAACATCGTCATTTGTAATAATTATTTTAATAAAGTTAGCCTATCTACTCCTTGAGGTATTTAAGATTATTTTTCACGAAGGAAAAAGAATGGCTCCTTGAAAAGGGTAAAATATATACTTTCAGACATGTCTATGCGCATGCATTTATCTATAGGTATAAATAATATCATTATGTATAATTATGATACCAACAATTTTCCACAATGACAATGGTAATTACGCAATACGATTCGATGTATTGTAAATTCAATTCCTATAAAACATGTTAATAGACAATATACCTATTACTCTTTAAGGCGTCAATAAATATTAATATTGAAACTTATCAACCGACTTCAAAAAGACAAGGAGGTTATCAATTCGATGGTATTTTTTTATGTTTGTTACCTCATAACTCTGTCAATTAAGAACTCATGTTTCATCTGAAAGGATGCATGTACTTTCAAACTGGTGCCATAGAATATTTATCAAAATAAGTTTAGTTTTTAGTTTTTTTTTTTTTTACTAGATTATTTAAAGAGAATAATTGATTTTGCCTCGATTGAAGTCGGTTTATTTTCTTGGAACACAATCTTAATTATTAAACTTTATTTTTTTTTAAAAACAAATTTCTTAGCTACTTCTAGTTCTAAAATTTGACCCGTTATGAACTTATTTAAATCTACTAGGTAATAATTAAAGTGTATTGAAACTACTTACGTGATTCGGTCTTGCCCCATCCCGCTACTTCCATGTCGTAGCCAACGAAAGTAGCCTGCCTCAAGTCACTAGAGAGAGGCAAGCAAATTGGTTTCACAAAATCTGAAACATTAATTTTGTAATTGCATATTTCCCTTATACGCATAATCTCTACTGCCTACGTCTAAACTATTAAGAAGAAAGAGTTTATTTTTTGTTCATAATAGAGAGATTAAAAAAAAAAATCTTAACTGATAAAAAAAAATCACTTGCTATAAAGTGGGACAATCTTGGTGGTGAACTATACGGTGGTAAGTTCGATTCCCGCATAAAACAAATATTAATATTCATGAGTATGTTTGTATTGGTTTGGATGTTTTCCATGCATAATATGTATGTACCTATATATAAATGCCTAGTAACCATAAGAAAAGTTTTGCTTAGTTTAGAATGCACTGCATTATGTGTTCAGTGGTGTTTCAAATGATCAATCAATGAGTATATGAATTGACTCGTCAATGCAAAACCTGTCCTGCTACGCATGTAAATAAAAGTTAAAAATAGAAAATGTTAGTATATCTTATGGGGCATATGTAGTTAAAAATATTGTAATAAATGTTTGCTCTTCTAATTTATTAACAGTACAGTACATTACAAGTAATATTATAAGTGACATTAAAGCCTTACCGTTAAATTGTGCATTACGTGCCAGTCTCAACAGCGCTATATCGTTTAGTTGATCCTTATCGGACGGGTCGTAGCCTTCGTGAGCAATAGTCTGCTGTATGGGAATATCTTGCACTGGGCCGCTACAGTCGTCTTCCACGCAGTCCACAGAGCTCGATGTGTTCCACTCACCGAGACGTACCTGAGATCTGTGAGATATGATTTTATTTACTTAAAATTCTATACCTATATTTCTAAACAAGAAATCATTCTAAAAGTGCAAATGGCTAAATGTGTATAAAATTTCTCTTTAATTTTCCAGACTCTATGGCTTGGATGCATCATGTACATTTAATGTATCAGTATTATGTCATCATAATAGCTTATATTTATTATTAATAAAGAATTTGATTGATCGCTTGATTGAAACTGTTATACTTAAGATTTATGCTTAAGTACAAGTTTTTTCAAGTTTCCGTGTAGTCCCGGCACAGAATAGACTTCTTTCCTTCTTTTCTTGTCGGTGTTGTAAAAGGCGACTAAGGAAACTTAATGGTCGAAGGATGGGCAGCAGCGTCCTACTTAAGTACATCATTAAAGCCTGACTACGGTTGCCAATCAGCCTGCTAAGCGTGGCAACTACGGGCGAAATACCCTTATGGGAGAGGGTTATATTCAGCAGTGGACAGTTATTGGCTTATATAATAACAAAAACAACAAGTTTTCATTGCATTCATAGAGCAGTAAATGTAGTCAAGTCAATGGGACAATACTTTGTTCGAATGACCTAATTGCGACCGGAGAATCCCAAGACAGAATCCCAACCTAAACTTCCGAACTTTTCAAATTAATTTCGTATCCTTAAAAATAAATATTGTTAATATATTTCCATCAGCAGACTGTCGGTTTGTTTGTTATTCTAAGTTATATAAATAAATAAAATAATTATTTCATGCTTCAAAAGGCGCGTAAAGCCGCCATTCTCGCACGTGTAATAGTAGTTTCCGATTCATTTACTTAAAATGACGTGACAAGGAATCAAGTGCGGTTTCTAATTGCGATTTAACGATTGAATCAATTGCACTATAAAGTTGGTCAGATTACTTGGTAATTATAAAACTACCTAACTGTATATTGATAAAAAAAAAAACCAACTCACAATCTCCAATTCGGCGGAAGATCATCGCCTTTGACGCAATGAGCTGCTGTCATGATATATCTTGATGAAATTAGTACACCACCGCAGTAGAATCCCCATCCGTGAGCTAGAATTTGAAAAATAACGTATATTAAACATAACTGTGGGAAAAAGATTTTTTGGCACGCTAATAGCCTACTTAATGAAAAGTATGATAATGAGTCAGTAGTCGTTTATACGAGTAGACATGAATAGCATCATAAATGTACACAAACAATACTCTGTGACGCCTTTGATGCACCTCATACTATGTCATTGCTATTTTTTTCAATGGGTGAAAATGGTATGGTAACGCCGCCTGCGCTAACGGGATACGCAGGCGGAGCACTAGTGAAGGAAGATAGATGAGAATGAAAACAGGCCAGTTAGCCCATAATGATGAATTCATCAGGAATTAACCATGATAGTTTCTAGGAAGAACCGCGAGGAGGTCGACCTGGTTGGGTATATTGATAGCAATGGGATTCTCTTCTCTATTACTAACAATCCCTTTCCCCTCGAAACAGTAAATTAAGATTGCCATATCCCACCCTTTAACCGAAACAGCCATGCAAATAAAATTGCTTGGTACTAAAAACAGAAATAGGATAGAGTTATTCGTGACTTATTACTCTTTGATAATTATCTCTATGGATAATCTATTATGACATTCTCCTACATCTTTATATCCATAGTGACAGGAGGCGATATCTACTTACTGGCTATCAAAATACGTAACAACTGTTATAAAATTATAGAAAAATTTTGTTACCATAAACCAACGGAACTAGCCCCCATATTAATATACAGCTGCATCGATTTTTTTTTATGCAATTTAGAATAGCAAACAAGCTGATAGTCCACCTGATGGTAAGTGGTAACGGTCGCCTATAGACATGAGCAGTACCATGGACATAACAGAGTATACTGTTTCGCCCATGATACCCCCCATGCGTTGCCATTCCTGAGGACTTAGGTGTTATACCTCTGTACCCTGTAAATTCACCCATACCCCACCCTTCAAACCGAAACATAGTCATGAAAACACAACTGCTTCACGGATTGACATGAATGAGACAGAGGTGCACAAGCAAACGACTTTTGTACAAAGTCTCCCTCTTGTCAAAGAGAACCTCCTCCCTCTCCCCCTTATAATAGTATTAATGTAAATTTTTCACAAGAACTAGATATATAATTCAGTTTTTTTTTCTGAAGGACCGCAGATAATATTTTGTATATAATTTGACGTACGTTTATCATATCGTAACAGGGCCATCCACGGGTGCTCATCAATATCAGCCTGAGTGCCTCCAACGATTTTGTCTTCATTTTGAACACCGCACACATTGTAGCCAGGCAGTAGAGTTGCGGAATCTTGAACTCTACTGGAACTGCCAACAGACGGTTCGTCCCCAAATTCTGGCGGACAGCAAATCTGAAAAACAGATTAAAAATTGTAATGAATATGCTGAGATTATATGAATATGATGCAAATTACATTAGTTAATACAACAGGAGAGATGTTCGGAAACCAGGTATGGAGTAATATACAAAATAGCACAAGTAGTTACAATAAAAACTGATTCGAACTCATGAATAAATAAAAATATATATTCACAACTGTAAATCCAGTCCGAATGTTACAAAATTTAAATGCTCAAACTTTTTTAATGATAAGCAAATACAATAATACCGGCCATCTAGTGTTTACAATTTGCTATAGTTCTAAATAATTCGATATCATTTCGACCTCTGCCCACAAATCTATGAACTACTTCCTGATATATTTGTCGGTATTGATATACCTAATCGTTTTATTTGTTAAAAAATATATCGCTTCGACTGCCTTAACGAGACTTTTTTTGTATTTCTTATGTATATTTACGAAATGACTTTTTGTTGCAACTTCATGTTCCATTCCAAGTCATTTCGTAACTTTACTGAATATTTACAGTATTTGTTCCTTATTTTTTAATGAAATTCCATTTTTAGATGGAATGATGGCCATGACACCATACATCACAATTATGCATCACCACTCCTGGAATGTTGTCTCCGTACCCAGCAATTTTATTTCTCTAACTCACTCTTCAAATTGATACACAACCATGCTAGTATAGCTGGTTAGCGGCAAAAACATTAATGAGACAGTGGTACTCAAGCAGAAGACTTTTTGAAAAGTCTTTCTCTGGTATAATTAAGTGTAACGGTCTAGGTACAGTAAAGCAATTAGTATCATTTACCCTTTGTACTCTTAGTTTACAGTTAGTACCCTTGCAGAAAATTATTTAGTTTTATAAATACAAGTTTTAATGATACTTAGAATGACAAACAAGCTGACTGAAAGTAGTAACCTTCGTCTATAGACATGAACAGCTCGATGGACATTACTGAATATACTATGATGCTGACGATGTCCCTCATGCATTGTCATTTCTAAGGACTATACCTGTAATGTTTTAATGTTTTAACTTCTGTAAATAAATATTGTACGAATATATATTCATCTTACAGTCACTTGTAAATATTATTCTTTTCCCGTCAAGTAGGCTAATAACTATTTACCTAGAACAACTACAATTTCGCTGCCATATCTGACCCTTCAAATAGAAACACAGCCACGCAAATCTTTGGTACTATAGCTGGATAGCTTTATATTATAATATACTCTGTACAATAGATGACGCTTAATATTATTTATGTGTACACATAATAGGTTTACGTAATTATATAAAACTAAGAAAGATAAACTATAAGAGGCCTACCTTCGGGTTATCGTATTCGAAACCGCAATGTAAACTGCGCAGTAGCCGCGTCAGCTGTGGTGTGTTGCCTTGCTGTTGCAGTTGAGTGTACAGGCCGGTACATTCTGACAGCAAAACGCACTGTGCGCCGCCATTGCATCGCTCTGAAACATTGCAATTTTTTTTTATATAACCTAAAATGATAAATAACATGTTGGCAACCCAACACAATATTTATTTATAGTGACAACAGCGCTCTCTTTGAACAAACGTGTCCAAAATTGTAGCTTTTTACATTTTAGTAATAAAGTGCCTAATTTGTACTACCATCGAGATTTCAATTTATCTTTCAACACCAGTACCTGCAACATTCAGGTTACAGTTAGGGAATCATACAGTAACCATTGCAGCCGTGCTATTCTTGAGGACTAAGGTAACAGCTTAATACTACTTTCTCCTTATCCTGTAATTTCGCTACCACAGCGACACTGCCAAATTGAAAAACTATGCAATTATGCGGAGTAAAGAATTTATCGTGGAAGGAGCAGATGCTAGCGACTCCATTTTGGTAATGCACCTTATCTGATCAATCTTCACCCTGTCCCCTTGGTAATCATCGTGTTTAATTTGGAGTAAATTCGTCACAATTGGTTAACTTACCTGACTATATTTTCACCTATCATCCATCACCATAACCCCGTCAATGTGCGTATTTAATTTGTGGTGAATTCATCAAAATCGGTTAACTAACCTCGTCTCTTATCACCTATCACCGATACCCCGTCAGCATGAACCAATATCGTATTGCCACACCATATTGAGTAATTACTCACAAAGTGTTTTTTTAATAAGCGAAGATTTTATTTTAATGGATGATAGTGGAATGATAACCCTGCCTGCGCTATCGGTATACACTGTACGGATGATGCAGGTCAGTTAGCCCATCGTGACAAATTCAACAACAAATCAATCATGATGTTTTCCAGGAGGAACCGCGTGGAGGTGATAGGGTCTATTGCTAGCAATGGGGTTGCTAATCTCCATTGCTAGCGATCCCTTCTCCCCCCAATAAGTGAAGATATTGAATGATACACCTGGCTATGCTAACGGTAGATAAAAGCGGGACATCAGTAGAGGATGAAACGATAATCATGAGGTTTTCGGGTGAACGTAGAAATATTAGATTAAAAACTAACCAGCGCTAACTAGACTTTCTCACCCCAACAGGATAGGGAAAGTCGAGAACAAAGGTTCAGGGCCTTTGACATATAGAGAACCAAATTTTTTTATGTTCAGATAAACAGTTGTAAGATTACAACAGATAGTTCAAAAACGCAAAACATGCATCGAACAAATATTTATACTAAACCATTATTGTAAATGTCATATACCGAGTTGCTATAATGTTTTTAATGTGTCTATGAATATAACCCCGTCATATGTATTAGTTTTTTTTTATACATCATTTATAAATATACAATGATATGAAATAATCAGAGTGGTCTCCACTTATCTTAGTCCATTTTAAAATACACGAATAACACTAGAGTAAAACAAGTTTATCTTGTTATTAAACATGTGAGCTGTATCTTTTTCTTACGACTAGGTACATATGATTGGTGAGATAGAATATCAACCGTTACATTCATCTTCTTATAAATAAAAAAAAAAAGTTACAAGACATTTTTCAAATACGAGGTCATGACATTTTATTTTGGAGACTGATGGCATCTATTTACTCTACGGCGGTGGCCTGTACCTAAGAATGCTTGCTGACCCTCTTCACTCTATGAGTTTTCGGGAGTGTCAGTCTGCGATTAAAAATCGGTTAATTAATAATTATTGAACTGCCTAATTGAAGAGTTAGGCCACGTGTTGGTCTATCTATTAAGAATGAGCTCACTATTCCTTTCTTTCATCAACTTCCAGTCCAGTCTGCCTATTTTGCCAGTGTGTCTCAGGCCAACTGCCCAAGGGAGTAGAAATGCAATTTATCACTTGAATTTTTTTTATACTATGATGGTAGCAAACAGCATGCAGTCCGTCTGATTGTAAACGGTTACTTTACCCAATGAATGGCTGTAATACTAGGGGTATCACGTGCACGTTGCCAACCCTGAAGAAGCTTTAATCCATTTTATTTATTATTTTATTTATTGCATTTTTAAAGTTTAAAACAACAATGAGAATATCGAACCTATTTATATTATGCAAAATTTGCTTAACAGTAAATTCCATCTTGCTACTTTTTTTAGAGAGTATGCCTTTTTTAACGAAAGTAATTTATCCGATACTTGTTAGTAAATTATCTTTATAGAAAGGTAGTTCCCGTATATATTAAAATACCTAAATCGTAAAGTGGTTACAAAATAAAACAGGACACAACCATACATCTTGATATTGTACCTGTTTATAGGTAAATAGGTACTCCTGCAATAACTAGCATTTTATTTGCCAGTTCGAGCTGTTTCTTCGATGCAGGGTTGCCAAAGACGAATTTTTAAAAATAATGTCCGAAACTGATACTTACTGATTCTTCTTAAATATTCACTTTTACAAAATCACATAGTTTTTAAGTACAAATACCAAAACTGTCAAAAAATTGTTTAATTTTCTCCACGCTTATTTTATTTTTCTCAAAATATAACCTCAACTAAGTATTTAGTTTTTCAAACTTCGAAAAAATCGCAAATATGACAGTGCTACTTCGATGTTAATTAAACTAGGTAAAATTCCTTTTTCCTTGTTCATTAGGGTAAATAAAACTACCTTAGCATTTGTCATACGAACTAACTCGTATCCTGTATGTATAACACAGTTTGTCATCTGTTTTGTTAACATTTGAATTTTCCTTATTTTTGAATAATTATTATGAATCCATCGAAAAATAATATATTGAGGACAATAAAGCTAATAGGATGGCGGAGTTGATCTTATTAAAATTTATCTACAGCAGACTCATCATGGAAGCTTTAACAGGATACAACCAGTAAGACCTACTATATAAGAGAAGTAAATACGTAGTATGAGAAATCTGGGTCTATGGAACACTTATAACAATTTGTTGGAATAAATGTATGTATGTATGTATGCCTCCTGGATGTAGCATATTTGAAGCCAGAAGATTACAAGTATCTCAATTCAAGTTAGAAACTCATCGAAAACTTAGTGTGTCAATTAAAAATTTCAACTAACTGTGTGATGAAAAACATCGATGACAAACTAAATCAATTTGAATGATGAAGATGGAATTTTTGCCATGTTGAATTCTACACTTCTTAGCTAAATCTGATGGTCTACCATGAAATGAAATTCCGAATTTTCCGGTTCAATTTCGTATTTTGTATGTACCGAAATCGACCTAGTAAATGGAGCTTAACATTTTGTTCATCATACATCCTATCCCAATTTTTTAAATTTAAATTTTTAATAATTTAAAACGGCATGTATTATGTAATTTTAACATAAAATTTCTGTTTCGTTCGTCCCCGAAATTTTGGAAAATGTTTCATGGTAGGCTCTCTGATACATATGGCTCTGACTATCCTATTGGGTAATTGCAGTCGTAATATTTGTTTATTTTGTTTTAAATTGCATATAAAGGTCGTAATGAAATGCTTAACTCATTAAGTAACGATAAAAAGTTTGGCCATTAAAAATCAATTGAAGTATGTCATCATAACATAATAACACTTATCTTTGTAATCCTGTAATCATCATTTTGCGAATGCGAATCATCTGGACTCTTGATTTAATGACTAATTTACTCTTTTGAATTTTCAAATTTGAAAATACTTGATGCATAATCGACATGGGCACTACATTAAGAGAAAAGCCTGCGATAAAAGTGCGTTTCTTCTTTATGACAGAACTATTGCAGTCTGATCGTTGACTTTATAAACTTACCTATAATATACAAGTATGAATGAAGAATGAAATAAAATAAACTCCAAGATATTGCAAAAGTCCAGTCACCTCAAACCTACGTCATAATATCATGCTGATGTTTTTTTTTTCTACAGGTGTAACGTCTTACCTGAGAGATGAAAAAATGTTTTTCTGATCAGATTATTTAGGTTTAATGAGTAAAATTGATATTACTCGGTAGATAGAGGCATAATATTAAATACTTAGGTATGGAGTAAATTAGCTCTTTACCTATCTACATTAAATCATTTTTACAATTTACTATAATTAATTTTTGTTCATATAGTAATTACTTTTTTATAATGTGTTATATATGTGTGCGAGTACATATTTACTTATAGTTTAACTAAACTATAATATATCTATTAAGGCTTGCACTTTAGTGCAGAAAATATGTCTTATCTGGTTATGAGAAAAATCGTAGACTTAGTATAACGTGCTTATATACTTCATAAAAGAGAAAAATAGATATATATATCATAATAAGTAGGTACCTAGTACTACACACATCTGATCAGAGCGCATGATGGCACTTTTAATTATTAATATGCAATAAATTTTATACTTAAACAATGTTATTAATACTCTATTTAATATGTAGCTAATAAAGTTTTAGAATTAAACATCAGTAACATTGTATACAGCTTGTTTTGAACATTGCAATGCACATTGCTCGCTAACATTATACCATTACCTATGTAAATGCCTATGTAGCTAACAAGTATCTAAGTTGTTACTTACTAATTAATTGTTTATGTATATGGATATTTTTTAATAAAGGCCAAATTATGTTACTTACGGGCAACAATTCCACACAGAGTAATCACAAGTACCAAAGATACGGATGCAGTCTTTGTAAACAGAAACTCCATCTTAATGATTGAATCGATTAAACAGAATTTTGTTTAACGTAACTAGTAGGTACTGTTGACCAGCGGACGGCTCGCGGGCGACTGATAGCTACGCTGTCCGACCCTGACTTTGCCTCCGACCACCTAACTTGAGGTTATCAACAATACAAATGTTTTTAAGTGCGGATTCCCCACGCTGTCATCTTTTTGCAATTTCTAATTATTATTATATATATATATATATATATATATATATATATATATATATATATATAATGATTAGTATAAAAAATCCTAACACTTAACGGACGGGTCGAATCTGCACTGTCTTTCCTATATTTCTTAAAACCAAAACTACGCTTTAGAAAAAACTGACAAATAGTACTATAAATAAAAGCCTCAAAAAAAAAACAGTATGTCTTAAATAGACACAAAATACAACATACTAAAAATTTATTCAAATGGCCTACGTGGCCCGTCCTAGGATATCAGAATGGAAAAACGTAAATTTACGGGTTCCATCCATTAATTCATTAATAAGACATTAATACAATGAATGAAGGGTAACAGATGAGGATGAACGCATATCAGTTGGCCCATAGTGACCAATTCAGCAAGAATTAGACAGGTAACCAGGTCTCCAGGGGGAACCACGTGGAGGCCGACCTAGTAGGGTATATTGCTAGTAACGGGGCTGTCTAAACCCAATAACAATCCCTTCCCGCCAAAAGCGGTAGGATTAACTCGCTACGAATTTTACTTAAGGTTTGTTAATGTATACAATAGATCTTGATGTGGGGAAAGGGATTATTAGTAATGGGGACTGAGAATCCCATTGCTAGCAATATACCCAACCAGGTCGACCTCCTCACGGTTCCCCCTGGAAACCATTATGGTTAATTCCTAATGAATTCATCATGATGAGCTAACTGGCCTGTTTTCATTCTCATCTATCACCCTTCACTGGTGCTCCGCCAGCGTATCCCGTTAGCGCAGGCGGGGTTACCATATCATTTTCACCCATCAAAAAAAAAAATAGATCTTGATATTGCACCAGTGCAAAACCGGGATGAGTCGGTACGTTATTACAAAATATTGTTTAATTACGATTTATTATTCGATTGCAATTTATTATATTATTTATTGAATTACATATATTATTTAATTACAATTTATTGTATTGTATAATAGGTATAATATGATAAATTTGCTATTTACCCTGTCATCATCATCTTCCTGCCCTTATCCCAATTATTATTTGTGGTCGGCGTAATATGTTTTCCTTTTCCATTCTTTTCTATTCCCAGTCATTTCCGCATTCACTCCCATTCTGGCCATATCGTCCTTCACACAATCCATCCATGTCTTGTTAGGTCTTCCTCTGCTCTTATAGCCATTTACATTCATTCTTAATACCTTTTTTTTTTAAATGCTATTTACCCTGTATCAATGTAAAATGTAAATTCACGAAAACTTGAATTTTATTCAAATTTTTGTAAGTGGGATCGGTGTTAACTTGATTTTTTACTCAAATTCAAGTTGAGTTTTCCTCAAAGTTTTACTGCTTATTAGAAGGACAATATACCTACTTATTTTATCACACCTATGTCGATTTTATGATTTGATGCAAATGTTGTCTAAGCATCTTATCTGATTTCTGAATTTTTATTTTTTGTTGTTACTATAAAGTAGGTTCCAGCTTTACTACACTTTGTAATAACGTAAGTAATAGGATAGATACTATTCGCGGTTATAATTATATTTTTTTCAAAGGTCTAATAATTTTATTTATTTATTTTACACTTTATTGCACCAAGATTTAAAATTTACTCTGAGACTGTGGTATGTTCGCCATTTTCAATACTCTGCATATAATTTTGTATTTGGCTATTGCATACATCAAAGGAAGATTTTGTACAGTCGTTTGCTTGGGCACCTCTATCCTCTATTCCCATCAGGTGGGTCGTCAGCTTGTTTGCCATTCTAAGTTGCTTGAAAATAATAATAATTTACATGCATGCCCACTACTTACTCACCAGTTTGTATACAATGTACTTTTTTATAATATTAACATTTATCTGAGATTTTGTTCGTATGACCCGGACGTGTTCATTAACGAGGTTAAAAAGTAGCCTGTCTTTCTTCACCTCATATAGTGCATGTATACCAATTTTTATTAAGCCGTTTAAAGATAAACAAACACATTTTCACATTTATAATATTAGCAAGAATTAGATAAAAGTATTATTCATATTTTCCATGAAGCAGACATCACCTTGAAAACAAAGGATCCCACGTCATTATATGCTGAGAACAAAGCTAAGTACTCAAACTCAAAGTTAAGCATGTGGAAATAAGATTGATTTTCTACAAAAAATAGACTTCAATTGTGGCAATAACAATTATTTTAATTTAAAAACTACTCATAAACTATTAAACTGATTTCAATAAAATTTCTAAGGAACAAATCTGTAAGTATATTTTTTTAGATAAAAAAAGAAATTTCCAAATCGGATCACAACGGACGGAGTTATAAGGTAACAAATATAAAAAAAATGCAACCAAATTAAAAACCGTTTTCTTTTTGAAGTTGCTTGAAAACCAGCCCCATATGACATTCTCATTATTCATGAGCGCCAAATGCGCGGAAAGACAACGTTGTAAATAAAAGAAAAATCTTTTGATTTTTTTAATATTGCTAAAAAATATTACATCAATAACTAAAGTAAAAATCAAGCAAGCATTTGTCATCGTTCAAGTTATTCCACCATGGCGGTAGATACCAGTTATATTCCACAAAAACTAGAAAACACAAACAACCAAGCTAGCCTCTTACAGCAAAAGTGACGAAAGCTAGCGTAATTAGCATTTCCTTGGAAGTTAGTGTCGCACAGTTAGAACGACGGACGGTTTAGATCGTGTGAAACACGTTTATTCAGAGATCAAAGGTCAAATATCTGAATCACTATATTAAACAAGGGAAATACCGGACTGTCAAAGGTGATATTTACTTCATATTTCTGTCGTTATTAAGTGTTTCAAAAAAGATTCCACTGTGGACAGTGTAGTCTTATTCAATATTACATATTTTTAAAATCGGTTGAAAAATGCATAATTAAAATATTAATGGTTTTGCCAGTACTTTAGCTAAAAATCAGATACTTTTTCTTTTTGAATCATTGCCTTTCATCAACATAAATACTACAACACACATTTTTCATCACAATTCAAAATAGAAGGGTCATCAACTCCAAAGTAGTATAGCGCTTTGACACTGTCTCATTGGGGGGAAGGGATTGTTTGTAATGGGGAGGTTAGTCCCCATTACTATCAATATACCCTATTAGGTCGACCACCACGCGGTTCCCCCTGGAAACTATCGTGACTAATTTATCATTCAATTCGTCACAATGAGCTAACTGACCTGCCTTTTTATCCTTATCTATCACCTCTCACTGGTACCCCACCAGTGTATACCGATAGCGCAGGTGGTTTTACCATACCATTATCACCCATTAAAAAAATAAAAGACACTGTCTCATTTTTTATGATTTCGGGTTTGTTCCCTTTAATACATTACGAGGGCAGGAGGAACCTTGTAACATAAATTCTTGAACGTATGATTCGTATGTAACGTGTGGTTGCCGTGTAGTCCCAGCATAGATTGAGCCACCCCTTCTTTTTCCGTGGGTGTTGCAAGAGGCGACTAAGGGAACTTAATGGTTGATGGATAGGCAGCAATGTCCCTCTTAAAACATCAAAGACTAACTCCGGTTGTTAAACCGCCTGCCAAGCATGACAACTACAGGCAAAACCCCCTCATGGCAAAAGCAGTCGGTAGGAGAGACTTATGTTCCGTAGTGGGAAGTTAATGGCTAATATGATAATGGCTAATTATTAAATACCAGATTCTTTTTTTTTGTAAAATAATTATACATCGTTCTTCTGTTAATTTATTATGCATAAAAATGTTTTATAAGAAAATATTTATACCTATAAACATATCATATACGTTAGCGAAACAAAATTTGTAACGAGGATCTGCTATTTGCATTAAAAGTTCATAAATATATGTTGTTTTTTTTTGCCACGAAGATGGCAAACAAAGCATACAGCAAGTCTGAATAACACTAGGGATGTCACATGTTCATTGTCGACCCTGAAGAAATTTTAAAACACCTTTGTTGAAGAACCCAATACTCTCATAGTCTCGAGAGAAAACTTCGAAAATCTTAGTATTTATTATTGATTTTACTGCAACTAAAAACTTATGGTAAAGAAAAGAGAGAATTATTTTTCTATTCATTTAATTGGTTACCACAAGACTTTGAAACTTTAGCCACATGTCTCGAAATATCTCCAAAAAGTTTGAAGCCTATTGTGAAGAAAATATTGCTTTTAAACAGCTGCCACCTAAAGCGATCGTCGCATATTTTACTCCAAAATTTGTAAGTTTCGTCCCATTTCTTCAATAATTGTTTTTTCATATGATTTACTATCTCCATAAACTGTAACTAATTGAATATTTATATTAACATTTCATTTCATGTGTTGGTCGTCTTCAATATTAAATATGTTTGTAAAATACATAAGAAAAAACAATATTTATAAAAACTTTACTCGTACATACTACACAAGATAGAGAATCATTAATTTTCCTCATATTTTACATTATACTTGTATTATGAAAATTTAGTATCGCATTATTTTGTTAATTTGTTGGTCCATAGCAAATCACTCCATTGTGTTTCGTGATATTATTATTGATCATATAACAACCTAAGTGTGATGACGATGTTGTTACAGTTTATATTTTTTCAATTTTTTATAACCAATTGAATGTTAATGCAAATACTTTACTTACTAAAAGAATAGTACATAGCATTCTCTTTCACAAGGTTTTTACTTAGTTCATAGCCGTAAATAGTTCTAGGATAGAAAATATGATCTAGTTGTCCACCTTCCTGCATTTTTAACAGTTCGAAACAAGAAATTAAAAGAGTTGCTTACTCTTTTAATTTCTTGTTAGTCTGAGCGTCATTAAAGTAGAAACTAATGTACACTGTACCTTGAAAAATGAGATCTTGAGTCACTTCAGCTCCGCAGATACTATGATTGGTTTATGTTTTAGGTTACTAAGTAATTAATAAGTATCGTTGGAAAAAATTGGATGTAAATATTATTATAAAAATATACGTTATATTCAGAGAAGTCAAATAAAAATATAAAAATTTGATAGTAATAAAAATTATACTTAATTAAGGATTGGCCGAATAATTTTTGACGTTTCTTGTGTAACCGTAACCAAATAGATTTTCTACTGTAAAAATTCTCTTTAAATATTATTAAAAATTTTGGCCAATCTTTTAAACCTATTTCAAGATTCGTTATTTCAAACCCTATTTATACTTAAGTATAGTGACCGGAACTTAATAATAACCCATTGATATAAAATCAGTGGGTTTCCACTTTGTATACCCTTTACGATGGGTGAAAATGGTATGGTAACCCCGCCTGCGCTAACGGGATACGCTGGCGGAGCACCAGTGAAGGGTGACCGATGAGAATGAAAACAGGCCAGTTAGCCCATCATGGTGAATTCATCAAGAATTAACCATGATAGTTTCCAGGGGGAACCGCAAGAAGGTCGACCTGGTTGGGTATATTGCTAGCAATAGGATTCCCAGTCTCCATTACTAACAATCCCTTTCCCCCCGTAATATAGGGTTAGTCGTTATTATATGAAAAAGAAAGTTTAAATGATATGATTGATAATAAATTATTACTTATCTACAATATTATAAATCTATCTTATTAAATTAGCTGTTATACATTTTTCGCATAATTTAAAAACAATAAATAGTAAATATCTTCATTCTTATACTAGCTTTTATCCACGACTTCATCCGCGTTACCGGGATATATCTTTCTCCATCCCATATCAAATTTCATACTGATTGGTTAAACTGTTAAAACGCTATGAGGTAATAAACATACCAACTTTACATTACACACGAAACGAAAATATAAAGGAAAATATTTTAAATACTCGTATATTTTTATTGTTTACAAAGAAAAATATAAATATATAACCTGTATAAAGAATTCCGCTTTATAAAAAATTTGTTCGGTCAGCATAATGAATTAAAGCCTTATTGTATGAATATTTCCGAGGTTTTTGAACCCTCTTCAAAAAGGACGATGTTAGACTGGTTTTCAATAAAAATGTATGTATATCAGTAGGTATGTATGAATTTTTATTTAGTGTATACTCGTATGTTATGTGATAGCTTTGTCAATTATGATCTGTTTTAATAGTTTTTTTATAGAAAGTGTTATCTCGTATTGGTCCCATTCTCTTACTAATTTTGTTAATATTAAAGTAGAATTTTAAGGTATTTTTAAGACTCTATAACTTATATTAAAATGGCGTTTGATCTACCTAAATTCACTGATGAATATTATAAAATGCGTCAAATAAGTAACTAACTATATGTAAATGATTATAATTATATATTTCTGGAATAAGACCTTATATTCTAGAATATCGAATAAAACGTAACATATATCGATTGAAATCAAGAAAGAAAATACCATTTTTCAAAGACGTTATAAGATGAAAATTGATTCTAATATGGTTATTTATACCAGCGTATAAAATCAGTATATAAATCGAAACAATTGATTTCATTATACAATATGATGTTTACGTTTTTCTATTACAAACATATTAAATTCTTGTTGAACACTTTTTATGTGACTTAGTATGGCAAACAAGCTTTTTTTTACAACACAGGGGGCAAACGAACATGCAGCTCACCTGATGGTAAGTGACTACCGCCGCCCATGATCACCCACAACACTAACGGCATTGCAGGTGCTGACGGCCCACCTGATGGAAAGTGGTAACCGTCGCCTATAGACATGAGCATAACAGAGTATACTGTTTCGCCCATGATACCCTCCATGCGTTGCCACTCCTGAGAATTCAGGTAGTATTTCTCTGTACCCATGTTCATATGCCACCCTTCAAACCACAACACGGCCATGCAAACACAATTGTTTCACGGTTGAAACACGCATGGGACAGCAAGCAAACGACTTTTTGTACAAAGTCTTCCTCTGGGACACTACTTTTACAACGCGGATTCGCCCTCATAAATAAAAATAAAAAACGTTCTATGTATTTACAATATGGTATATTTTCTAACTAAAATTTTCACATTTTTAGTCAATACGCCTATCTAGGTGATTGCATTTATAGACATATAATTATTTCTCAAAACAATTTTTCAAATTAAGTTACATTTTTTTTAATATTCTCAACAAATCTTGTTATTCAATACTGCTGACTGTATGACTGCATATACTACAATGATTCATTATCACAAAGATTCTAATGTCAAAAAACATACGAGTATGAACGTTATATCATATATAAGACATTTGCACCATTATAGCATGTTTGAAGGAGATACAATAATGCTAATGGTATTCGCTGGTAGTTACTTTTCTGCTTGTTACTCAATATACTAGCCAGTTCTGAACCAATTTTGATAACAACTTTAAATATCGATCGATAAAGTTATAGCCCCAAAACAGGATTCACGTTGTAGATAGATGTTGGAGGATCTCCGAGAAAAGAGTTATTGAGTCCATGGTTATGTATAATCTATTATATATATTCAATAATTTTTGATAAAAACGTAATTATGTTTTGTCAAAATAATCACAGAAATACTCTCTAAATGAAATCAGCGACAAGTTAAAACGTTCAATTGATTTTTTATTTGTACTACTATTGAATCTTAGGAGTTCGTCTTATAATCGGCTCAATTATTCATTTATTTACATATTTATTAAATTCTATTGAAACAAACTATACATATATAATTCAATTATAAATACTTACTTAGTATTTCAGGACTATATCGATATATTTATTCTCTTAAATTATTCATTAATAATCCAGAAAATCTTTGATTAATTTCCTCATATCGAATATAAATAATTCAAAGACAAAATAAAAAAGATGGCGTAATATTTTATTTTAATATACCTAATATGTCAACACTTATCAGACTTCTTTTTTAACATATTTTTTATTAACAAATATATTTGTAAACTTAAGTATTCATCAAATCCATTAGTTTAAGTACTTCCTTAATTACAATATTGTTATTAAAATTAATCTATTTACTAGTACATTTTAATTATCAGTCACTCAGAAAATCACAACCTAGCACAAGATGAAATTATTATCAATTTGCATTAACATTGGGTTTTTTATTGTTAATAACTCCGTTATGTTTTACATTTTAAATATACCTTGTAAAATACATGATATTATATTGTTACTCGTATATAGGTACTTAGGTATGTGGAATATCGTAGTTCTAGGCAACAATGCTTATAAGTAGGTCCTGACTTATTAAGACTATTAAACTTAAAGAAAGTCGGCTAATGCACATATTATCTACATAAACATCAAATTCTGCACATGAACTTATTTTAGAATATGCTTATATATACTTATATACACTTATATTTATTGCATAATTGAGCATGAGTATATTTATTTAACACAATTAATAAAAACAATTACAAATTCAATTTTTCGGCAAATTATGGCATTAGTACAATAAAATTTGTACATTCCTCCATGGCCTTCTGTTCCAAAAATTTAAATTATTTACAAATAATATGGCTTTATGACTAGGAAACATATTCCCCGTATTTTATATAATCCTCTCAAATGATTATTTTACATAATTAAAGTATGGATACTATTACTACAAGATAATAAATATAAAATAAAAAAAAAATGTTAATAGGTCTACACTGATATCATCGGTATCTAATATTTAAAAATAATAAATAAGTAACTTAATTAAGTGTTTATTACGTTTTAACCAAATTCTAAAAGGAGAGGATTCTTAATTTGACTGTATTGTTTGTAAGTCTGTTATCATTTGACTGATTGACTGATTGTGCGATAATTTTAAATATTATTTTTACAAACAATAAGATTTACTTCCACACTCTAATATTTTTTTATTTTGATTTAAAAAACATTAAGTCTGTATTTATCGTGAAACTTAATTCCAATCATACATTTATACGTTCTTATATTTCTCTTACCATAATCATGAGTGAGTGGCTTACACTATTATGGATTCTAAGTAGGTACTTATTTGTAGTTTTACACTCATTCTATCTTAGTCTTGTTGATTACAGTTCCGTTCTTCATACAATACAATTATTGCTTATCCTAAATTACAAGATTTACCTATTTAGAGAATAGTATTCACGCTTAGTTTAAGAATGGTTGTACCATTTGTCTACAAAATAATTATTATTATTATATTCATGAATTTGCTCTACTTGTATTGTTCTGAGTATTTTCAACGGACGCTGTATGATTTGGGACCATTAAGTATTTATTTTTTAACATATTATAATTTTCTAATGACATATATTTCTAAATAAAACACACAAAAATCAATTGCATACTTACACTATAAACTTATTTGAAGGACTAGTCAAAACAAGTTAATGCGTGGACCACATTCGAATATTATAGGTCTTCGCATTTTCCTTTGTTCTTGTGTACTTAAGCAATCTTATATACTTTACTCTCGCATATTGTCCAGGATCCACTTCATGTAACTGGATATTTTTGTGTACACACCAGGATACCCGCCGATGCCGCACCGTTTAGTCCCATAAGACACGATCCCTCGTTGAACATAGCGCAGCCCAAGTTTCCCAGTGATGCCAGGGTAGATGAGTGGACCTCCAGAATCACCACCACAAGAGTCCTTGTCAGGGACGCCACCCGCGCATAATTGACTGTCATATATCCGAATTGATCTGTAAAAAAAGCGTTCTTACATTATTTGACAGTTTAAGCAGCGCTCGACTGCGGTCCGAAGATCCCAATAAGGGGGGAGGGATTGTTAGTAATACGGACTACCAGTCCTATTGCTAGCAATATATGCTGTCAGGTCGACCTCCACGTGGTCCTCCATGGAAACCATCATGCTGAATCCCAGGTGTATTCATCACTACTAACGGCTAACTGACCGGCATTTTCATTCTCACTTGTCATCCCTCACTGGTGCCCTGCCAGCTTATATTGTTAGCGCAGGCGGGATTGCCATTCCATTATCATCCATTAAAAAAATATGGATTCTCAGTCTGAACCTCTAAAGTTTCAAAATCTTCTTTGAAGCAATTTTAAACGATTGCTACTTGATTCGTGCTTTGGATAGCCCGTAAAGCCATCGTTCAATAAATTACATTAAAAGCCATTGTATGTAACAAAAGCGACCTAGGTTCTTGACATTCAGAGAACAAAACCCTTCATATGAGTAGGTAATCCGCTAATAAGGGGGAAAGGGATTGTTAGTAATGAGGTATAAAAATATCATTACTAACAATACATAACTGATCGACCTTCACGTGGTACCCCTTTTGAAATAATCGTAGTTTATTCATTATGCATACGACACGATCAGCCAACTGATCAACTTTTAATCTCGCCTGTAGTCTTTCACTAGTGCCCTACCAGTTAGCACAGGCGGGGTTATCATTTCATGTTCATCCATTCTATTCCACCCAAAAACAAATATACAATAATATATATGATATAAATAACATCCAAATACATACAGAATTACCTTTCTTTTTTTCTTTTTTTTATACAACTTATAATGGCAAACAAGCTGACGGCCCATCTGATGGAAAGTGGTAACCTTAGCCTATAGACATGAACAGTACTATGGACATAGCAGATTATACTGTTTCGCCGCATGGGAGGTATCCCCATGCGTTTGCCATTCCTGAGGACTCGGATGTTATTCCTCTGTACCCTGTAAATGTACTGTATTATCTGACGTCTTAGCTGACCGAATATTCTAAATTAAAAATAATGTTAAATTAAAATTTATTTAAATGGAATTTTTATTGTAAAAATAATCGGATTGATTTAGTCAGGCCCGCATTTACGTCATAGCTATTAATTATTAAGGGCCCCGGATGATTCTAAAATGTCGAACATTCTCAACTAAAATAGATGTAAATCAACCCGGGTATGAACATTAAAAAATAAAATTTTACAATAAAATCTTAAAATATGACGCACATTCATAACAATAACAAACGAAAGTCAATCCGGTTATTTTTACTTTTACATTTATCTAAAATAGAATGTGAGCCTACAACTGGTGTAACTGGTTATAGTTGGCGGTTTTGTGATAAATCGTATTATAAAAAAAAAACAAACAAACAAATTAACGTTTATATCAAATTAAAGTTAAAGGTTGACTTCGTGTCATCAATTTATAAAAATGGAAATTTAAATAGAATGATTATAAGTAAAAAAAAAAAAAACTATTGAACTTTTAACGGTAGGGCAAGTACGATCTATTCCAATAATTGTGACGCAGATAAGATGTGTTAGTAAAAACTAGTTTTAAAACAAAACAGGTTACACGTGGATGTAATATTAAAACGTTTGTTTTTATTGCCGTCAATGACTGTGAAACGTATTTAATAAATTAATATTAATTATACAAGTATTCTTACATAGAATCCTAAGCATAGTACGAGAACCTATTCTAAACTACGAATACTATTAATAATTCATTCGATTTTATTTCTCAATCGACTTCAAAAAAGAGAACATTCGCAATTCGATTATATTTTTATTTTTTGTTTGTTACCTCAAAACTTCGTCATTTACGAGTATAAACAGATTTAAAAAAAAATTGTGTAAGCGAAAATATTTTTAGAAATTTTGTCAAAATCGATTGAAGTCGGTGTTATTTCTTGAAACAATATCTTAAATTATTTAGTATATGGATCCCTAAAATTAAATGGACTACCTAATGTAAATCGTTAACTTTTTAACTTATATAGATTCTTTGATGGTTTTAAAATTTTCATAACACAACAAATATATAGATCTCAGTATAATCCTCCATAGTCCTTAGGAATAGGAACGCATGAAGTGTATAATGAGCGTTACATATACTGCGACACCCATATAATGTAATAACCACGGTACCGGTCATGTCTATAAACGGCTTTACATTACGTGGGCCGTTACATTGTTTACTATTCCAAACCGCAAAAAAAAAACTGAACTTTAAAACTTGAATTTGAACTTAAAAATTTACCATTGTACAAAAGTCGTTTGCTTGGGCACCTCTGTCCCTTTCGTGTTTCTACCGTAAATCCAGTTTACATGGCTGTGTTTCGATTTGAAATGACAATGTATGGCAGTGAATTTACTGGGTACAAAGGCTTAACACATGAGTTCTCAGGAATGGCAATGCATGAGGGGTGTCATAGGCGAAACAGTATACTCTGTTATGTCTATGGTACAGCTCATGTCTATAGGTGACAGTAACCACTTTCCATCAGATGGGCCGTCAGCTCAATTGCCATTCTGAGTTGCATAAAAAAATTAACATTCTTGATATTTATGTGACATACCCATTATAAGCGTCTACACAGTCTTGATTGTGGAGTATTGGTAGTTCCACATTAAGCAGCACGGGAGACTGCAAACCGTCTTCAGTAGCGCCCCAGCCGGCTACCTCCGCAGATACGCCCACTAAATTCTTATCCCGAAGTTCTTTAGTAAATGGTAAACAGATTGGCCCCATGCTATCTGTAAAGAGCGATAGAAACTTCTGTTATAAATAAAAACTAATTTATGTAAATTTATTCTTATAGTATCTGTAAATCTTGTAAAATAACCTCTATAATAAACTTTTTACGAAATGATATTTTCATATAATATGTTAGCCATTCAAAATAAAATACTTCTGTCGACCTTGAACTACTTTATCTATTTATAGTTTCATTTTTATTTTATTTTGTAAGTGTATTATTTAATACCCGAATTTCGTTTGCCGAAGTAAGACAGACATTTAAGAATAAATTTAGAAATTTTGGCATTCAAAGCGGAACCAATAATTTACACTGGATAGTTAATTAACTACGAGACCATAATGGATGTTGTAAGTTTCAGCACTCCAGCCTTAATCAAGTCTGGGTGAAGTAAAAGACGAATACACTTAATTATCTTTTACATGTATCAAAAAAAAATTTAAAACATATTTGACTTATGACCTAAACTTGTGTACAGCTTAGGGTATTCACAGTGGCAGATGAATAAAAAAAGTAATAATAACTTGTGACTGTTTTCGACCTCAAAGCATCTTATATTTAGTAGTAGGTACTTAAGTCATTGAATATCTAGATATCATCATCATTTGAATTATTCACCGGCCATTACGAAATATGACCTGCATGAACTGCCATAAAAACGATTTTTGTAATTGTCAACTTTTGACGATATCATTCCATCTAGTGGCGATCATACTACACTACGTTTCCACCTACGGAACTGCTTCTCAATAACTCTTCTTCTTCATCGGTAGTTAGCTCTTCGACTAACATGACCAACCCTTTGTCAGCCATAAATGATATTTTTTCTACTTACCTAAACTAAAGTCAGCTGGTTCAGATAGCCTTATTAAGGCAATGTCATCAAACAGAGTTTGTGGTCGGTAACCAGGGTGTGCCTTAATTTCATCTATACCCACATTCTGAAAATGTAAGAAATATATTTTATTTAATCAATATTTTATCATTAGGTTTAAATTGGAAGTGTTAAAATATCAAAGAAATTGCTCAAAGAGTTTAATTTGGCATACATATTAAAAAAAGCATTAATGCCCTATGTATAACATCCAACGAAAGTTATTAAGTAGGTATTTTAATACTACAAACTTTTATAAATAAACCTTTCAATATAATTTCATACATTGAAAGGTTTATTTTTATTACGTGGAATGGCAAATAAGCTAACGGTAAAAAGTTTTAACCATTACCTATCACATGATCAGCGACATAGATATTAAAGAAATTACTGTGAATAAATTATTAAGTTGTTGTATAAAATAATAAGTAATATAAAAAAATAAGTATCACACAATCACACTATCTACTCGATCCTCAAACTAAGATATTCTGCGATATAAAAACCATACAATAATAAATTGGGACAGAAGAAAAATGAATATATAGATTCTAAAAAATTTTTCGGACACTAGATAGTTATGTAACAGGAATTATTTACTTTTTTTATTTATTTATTTATTTAACACTTTATTGCACCAACATAACATGATTTGTTAAACAATTTTCAATATGTATAGTGTAGTACAAAAGGCGGTCTTATTTATACTTTTGTATTACGTTTGTACTATTCAAGCATAAGCGTAAGAAATATGAAAAGGTGAGCCTTCAAAATAAATCTCTTTCTATTCTCAGTGTCAGATCCTCCTATGCTATGCTATAAAATTGCCAATCTTATACAATTTATTTCAAGATCGATTTAATTTATTCTATTTAGAATTCCTAATACAAACTGATTTTATAATAGATACAACTACGAAATTTCTATAAAATATTAAATAGTTGCTTTTTGTTTTAATCATGAATAAATAATAAATTACCCGGACATTAGGTGCGCAGTATTGTTTGTCCTCAATTTTTTCGCAATCTGGATCCTTCCTTACATCATGTTCCCCAAGCACTACCTCTGACAACTTGAGTTTTGATCCTAAGTACGACACGCAATGGGCAGCGGTCAACACATACCATTCCGAGATCAAAGTCCCACCACAATTGAGCTGTCTGCCGCGGGCTGGAATATTAATTGAATATTATTCTCAAACCTTCTTAATATAAGTAAAACATTAGCTAAGTATCAGAGGAAGATTTTATCGTATTTACGTATTGTTCTTCACTTCTACTCCACTATATTCTCCGCTGTGCTATTTCACTACAGAAACAGCCCAATTTTTAATTCATGTAGAATTAAAAATAGGTTGTGGAGATAAAATTATAGATAATGGTAGCATAACATATTAGTCAGAAATGGCAATATATAAACGGTATATAGGTAATACAGTCTACAGGCGACGGATACCATTTTCCATCAGATGATTGGATGGATTTACCATTTCCAGCCGCATAAAGAAAAAGGATAAAAAAATTACCTGAGTCATAGGCTATTAGCACCATCCAAGGTAACTCAAACAGCCTGGTTCTTTTTCCGCCAATTATTCTGTCACTGTCAGATATACCACAACTAGATGGCAAGAGATGAAAGTTACGATGGTTTTGAATTTCGTCGAATGGTTCAATGTCATAGTCTTCCGAATTCGACGGATGGTTCAGAGGATTGGGTTTAGGTTTGCCCCGGTTTGGTGTATTATTTATATTCGACCACACGGGATCCTCATTGAAATCTGTGGGTGTGACACAACATACCTGCGAATTTTAAAATTACCATTGTTATACCATTTTTATTAAGAAAAATTTGTGTTAAACCCTAATGTAATGAACATTCAATTGACGGAGTATTGATAAGCTAAAGACAAAAATATAAGTTCAAGTGATGCATGAGTGATACTGGAATGGTTGGTTTATTGTTTTTTTTTTTTTATTTTTGTCTTATAAATTTTTATATCTATAATAGAAATATAATTTTTAGCCGCTATTGACCACTATAAATATTAATAAACTCACGACATCCTTTTGAGTTTAATAAATTTTGTTAAAAAAGTGTTTATCCCTCCATACCATTGCGCAAAAGTAAATTAGAAATTGAATAGGTATTCAATTTCTAATTTACTAATTTAGGAAAATATTATAAATAAATAAGTGTTATAGGTATAACACTTATTTATTTATAATATTTTCCTTTAAAGGATTAATATAGGTATCCAGCAATAACAAAATACTTAATACATTAGTTCACATAAGGAAAAGACATTTTATCTACATATTAAAAATAAAAAAAAAAATATACACATTTTATTACGATTTTTTCTGAATGATAATGGAATAATTATCCTTCCTGTGCCAGTTGTTATGATGATATGAATGATGGAGCCATATATTATGGTAGAGAAGTAGGGAGATTGAAATAATTAGGACGAACTCAAATTAGTTTCAACATCGTGGCTAATTCGCTATGAATTAATCAATCAACTACGGTTGATTGTCGGTTGACGGTTTTCAGCGAGCATTACATGAAGGTTGACCTAACAGATGAAAATATGGTGCCCCGTCTGCCATACACTGGCATATATATAAATGGCCATAATAGTAGGTGAAAATGTAGTTACGTCTTTTAACAATGAGAAATTTACCGGGACCTAAACAGGTTGGTTTCCAGGAAGGTATACATATATGGTATATCTATTATTAATAACGAAAAAAACAACAACAACTGTATTTCTTCCCAACTGGGTGGTAGATTTATATAATATATATTAATTTATTATTAATACTTGGATAAAAATTATTTGTTATTATTATTATTCATTATAATGGGGTCACTATACTAGCGTATACTAACAATCCCCTCTATTATAATAAAGTTATTATTAAAATCCGTACTAACCAAAGGTTCGTGAGAATCGAAGCCACAGGTGAGAGATTGTAATTTCTTATTCAAAAGAAAAGGTATCGGATTACCCGCTCTCTTGATTTCATCTAGAATCGGCTGACAATTGTCCAAAGGACCACATGTACCCGACTGATTATCAGCTATGCAACTTTCGCCAGCGAATACTGAAAGAGAAAAGAAAGACCAGGTTCTAAATTTATCTCATAAGTGAACAAATAATAGGCCATGTCTATTTATCTATCGCATCTTCACGGCAAGTCTTTCGCGCATTAAATGCATAATAATCTACAAATTTCGATTATGTATATATACTATATACACTCATGAACAAATTTAAAGTAATTCAATAAAAAAGTGTATGCTCTAAATGATTATTTCCCACTAACTACTTGCAGAAATCTATAAATAGTTATTCAATTAGGAAAATAAAGTTTTAGCAAGTTTTGTTTATTTTTTGCAACTAGTTATACATTATTATTTTTCTAGGAAATGTAGCTGATTTTCGTAGTTAATTTTTTTGTATTATTTCAGTTATTTATTTTATTCTCTATGTGTAAGTTGTGTAACCCACTAAGCAAGTAAGTATGTAATCGTTAACTTAAAACTTCTTTTGTTCCTAGCAGTATCCTGAGACTATAACCATGTGAATCAATAAAGTATTCCGTGTATTGCGATAACTCGTAATATACGAGTGTAGCAAATTTTATATTATTTAAAATTTAATTAAGTAACATACATCCAAATATCTTTACAAACTTTCACATTTGTTATATTAGTAGGATATTTAGGAATAAAGTCGATTATAAAGTGAAAAAAAATTATATTGGAATGTCAAAATTCATTATAAATTCCTACAAATTAATTAATTAATTATCGATAAGTATAACATATAATAATATTTATTTATTATATATATTTTTAAATATTAGTGATACTCGGATCATCGGATGATCTTTTGATACAAATAACCTATTTATATTTATTTTGCATTATAACTAAGAAGGAAACATCATTTAGACAACAATGAATATTATAATAGTAGATACCTACTTATTTAAAATTTGTCATTGAACTAGCTGTACCTAATACAATTCTGTGATTCTGTTGTGTTCATCAATATTTATGTTGTGCCTACCTACTAGCCGTAATTTAATCATCATCATAACAGTCCACTGTTGGACGTAGGTTGGTCTAATGCATTAGACTTAATATATTGTAATTTTAATCTTGATTTTTGTCTTGCAGTTGCATATTTTTCGCGTTTACCTAATATAATTAATGCAGTGGTTCCCGCATGTACGATATAATCGCTTTATCCACGGTCTGAGCGCAAATGAGTAGATTTTCCGATTAGTTTTAATTAACGACTAAACTTACGACATTTCACTGGCAGCAGTAGAGGCACGAGGACACTCGTCAACAGACAAAATTTCGCCATCATATGGGTCTCACTCGGTTTCAAAGTTTATTTGATAAAAACACTCGTATCCACATGTCAAAAGAACACAATTTATAATGATGTCACTAATTGGATATTGCACTATAAACACGTACAATTAAATCCGTACAAGTCACTTGTGTTATTTATTCATTCCATTAGTGTACACACGGGTTATCGGGGGTCAAAACAAATGATGCCTTCGAATGCCCGCACGCCGCTTATGTATTGCCCCGTTTTTCCTTATACTCCGATACTGCTCACTTAGATTTTCGTCTGCATATACGCCGTTCCGAAGATGATACGGTGTCGTCTGAACCGAGATAAGGACGGAATAACGAAGTGGGTGGACGTCGGCGACCGACATAACGAGATGACGGTCATTACCATACTGGCTCCGCGGAAATCCAGTGAATGGTACGCGAGCGCTCGCTTACATCTCACTACTTAACTAGTTGCTGATAAAATTATAATTATATATTAAATTATTTAATGCATACTCACATTACATTGTTCCATTTGCAAATTAACAGTTTGAAATATATTAAACATGTACGTCGTTGTATTGCTAATTAATTAGACACGCGTAAGATTCAGCCGTATGACTTATATTTATCTATTTATGTATTTGTATTATTTAAAACAAATATTTTTGAGAACAGATCAAATTAATATAAAAATAATTTCACATTATGTTCTATAAGAAAACTAATTCAATTACGAAAAAAATACTATGAGACTAACACATGAGTTTCAGTATCAAAACCTAGAAAAACATACATCTTTCATCCATATGCGTGTAGGAAGAAAACAAACCGTCAAATTAACAACCTTCTTTATGAAGTTTGTTAAAAATGCTTACTGTATTATTTATAACGGTTTTCGTTGCATATTGCACTTTTGCTTGCTTACACTTTGTACCAATCATATTATCAGTCCATATATACATTAATACATAATTATAATTGGGTAATCCAACTTTATTTAACATAATTTTATTTATTAAAGCTATTCTTTAGAAATTCTTGACAGTCAATTAATTTAATTATGACAACCAACGTATAAAATGAGTGGACATATTCGTAGAATATGTCGGAAGTTATTTTATTGCTTTATTGTTAATTGTGGTCATAAGCATTCGAAATATTGTTAAAAATCTGTGGATCCCCTACTGACTCATTTAATAAGGTAAAAAAAAACTTCCGTTGCAGAAAAAAATAATTGTGGTATAAGTAGATCCAAACTTACATGCATACGTCACCAACTATATGCACTTGCGGTTTTCCTATACCTATTCTTCCCATATCTTCGAAAATCAGATGAGTTTAGTAAAAGAAAGCCCTTGAGATCAGCCTTTAAAAGTCATATGTAGATTATCGTATTTTATTTATTCGTCCTCAGCAATTTTGAACACTAATGGGTGGTCTTTGTTTTTAAGTTAAAACTCTGGCCGTATATATATATTATACAAATTTGGAAGCGAAGTACTACCTTGTTCTTATGATAGATACTGCAATAAGAATTCTTATGGCACTGCATTGAATAAATGTTTTTGACAATGAATCATGCAATTGAGAATTGTATCAGTATTAATATTTTTATAAATTGAGTGTAAAAGGTTGAAGATTATTGTCATATATTTATATAGATATATTTCATTTCATTTCACGACACGTAGTGCTGTGTGTCAAGCGCATTAAAGAAGGTAAAATTGTAGTCAGATTTGGATGGTTGCAATAAGACGCCATAATATAACGTGTCCATGGTGAATATTTTTGCATGACTAAGGCAAATAATATTGTGTTGCATAAGTTACGAAACATAAATTAATAAAACTTTACCTATAATTATTATATAAATTACCTTGTAAATGTATAAAGTTGGCTGAATGATCTATGTATATATTACATGTAATACGCTGCACCCATATAAATGCAGAAATACACATGGCTATGTAACTAATAAAATATTGTTCAAGTTTTTTAATAAACAAAACAATATAAATAAATATATTCGATATGTAAAGCTCTAGTAAAACTTAAATTTTCTATATAAAATCATATTAGTTCACAAATTTTTTACAAAATGATTGTCATGAAATCTTTGTACGTCATTCTTTGGTAATCGGGTAAAAATGAAGAAAATGAGATATTTAGTTTCTGATGGATGGAGTCTCGCAGGAGACTAATTATGAAATATTATTTTATGTTTAAATATTTTATTACATACGATATTACTGAAAATATATTCTGTGGTAAATTTCTCTATTTTTAATTTATTGAACATTAGGTCTGTGGACGTGTCTCTCTCATATAATTGCATACATAATTGTCTGTGATAACTATGCTATTATATTAATTTACTATTCTATACTGAACCTTTTCAAAATCTATGGAAACCTATCAGTGTTAATTTAATGGTCATCTAAACTCGAATCTATTTAGGTTTATGCAAAAATAAAAGGATGGAAGGTTGTAGCCTTTTGCTGCTTACTTCTTCGTCCACACTTATGTATGAATAAGTGGATTATTATCCTAATTTGAAACCGTTTACAGTTTCTAAAATATTTGTTTTTTTAATACTGTCAGTATTAAAAAAAGTCAATATACTACGTTAATATGAAACTCTCAGGTATTCAAAATCAGGAAGGAAACACAATAATAACTTCTGCTACCGGGGAATACGCTAAGTTCAAAAGTTTTATAATATCATATTATCGTAACTCAATGATTTTAATGATGTTTAATAATCTTTTTTATACTCTTTAACATCTACTTCATTATTTAAAACTATCAAAGATTTGTTATTTTACAAGCAATTATCTGCAAATTTGAACTTACTTCTATAGCGAGCACTACTATGTATATATACTCGTACGTATAGGAAAACCTTACAAAAACATTTCAAGATAAAGCTATCTATTCTATATATCTATATCTATCTCTATATAAGCATATTGTCCAATCAGATAATTCATTTCAAAACTGTTCATTATAATTATATTAAAATGGTACCTATATCACAGTAGTTATAAATAAATGTGAAAGTTCATCACTTACGGAGTCTACTATCTAAATAACTGTATCTTCTCTTATGCTGTTGTGCAGTGAGCACTGAATAGATCTTCTAATAAGAAATTTGATGTACTCTAACTTGATTACATGAAAATATATTGCCTTCCTATTTCTAATTAGCATCAAACGTTTAGACACGATTTGTTATTAACTCTGCTTTTAGTCGATAGCGCGGCCGGATCCAATTGTTTATCGCAATCATTGCAATTCCATACAATATTACCAGTTTTAACCATGAAACCTCCAGTCATGAGTCTGTAGGTATACAAAGTACATATTTCTTCAGTAGACACGGAAAAGAAACAAGCTCGTCATGATTCAGTGGAAGTATTGCTTTATATTAATTATTGTGACACAAAATGATGCCGATGATCAAACGACTTCATTAGATAGTAAGTGGAACGGTTTGATGATCTTACCGAAATAGGTAATATCCCTTACGATAGGTAATTAATTTGGTCATACAACCGAACCAGCGATTCGATATTATTCCCATGACTAATTCTGATTGTTTCTGTCATACATTTTAATTGTTTTATTAATGATCGTTGCAGTTAACCTAATCAATAATATGTGTAACGTGTCATGCCGTTGCTTGATTAAATCGATTAACAATCATATTCCTATAGGCAATATGTATGTATATTCATTATATGGTGAAGTTATGCATCGAATTTTCTTATATTTATTATTATATTACTGATACACAGTGCTCAAGAAATCTTTAATCCACTTTGAATAATATAAAGTACTTTTATAATGAGATTTGGGGGGAAAGGAATTGTTAGTAATGGAGACTAAAAATCCCATTGCTAGCAATATACCCAACCAGGTCGCCCTCCTCGTGGTTCCCTCTGAAAACTATCATGGTTAATTCTTGATGAATTCATCATGATAGTCTAACTGGCCTGTTTTCATTGTCATCAGTCCTCCTTTACTGGTGCTCCGCCAGCGTATCCCGTTAGCGCAGGCGAGGTTACCATTTCATTTTCACCCAAAAAAAATAAACAAGAATAGTCTACCTGCTATTACGACACAAAATATATCCTACAGGTTTACTAGTTGTTTTTGGGAACGGAAAAGTTTTTAATAAAGTATATAAGGTTAATTATATATGGACATAAATGGTTAGAATTAACTAAAACTTAGTATAACCGTTACAATTAACCTGTGTTAAGAATAGGAAATATTTACACTTGTATATTAAAAGCTATTAAGAGAATAATGAAGTAAAAATATATTAAGGACCAAAACAATAGCACGTATGATTATTGGTGGTAGTTACTTAAGTTACAAAAAAGAAACTAACAACAACACAATGAAGCATATTCAATTAAATAAAGAATTTTTAAAATCAGATATTTAAATGTGTTATGTATGTATATAATGTATGTATGTGTATAATGTAGATAGGTTGCTTGAGGTGTCACATCACCCCACTTGGGACAAGTTGGACGCGTTCGATTGTGGGGACAGCGCCGCTGACCGGATCATAGGCGGGGTGAATGCAGCCCTGGGCCAATTCCCTTGGATCGCTCGCCTTGGCTATACACGTATGTACTCATTTGTCAACCTGTTAGGATACCATGAGAATATCTGGCAGTTTTTTACCTTTTTTACAATAGGATTATATTTATCTTTTGTTTTACATTTCACTTGTGTCACTGCTCTGATCTGAAATATACGTCTTCTAAAACCTTTTTTTATTACTTAAATGTCTTCAAAAAGAAGGAGCTTCTCAATTCGGTTGTATCTATTTATCTGAATATAAATCTATGTATTATTTAAGAAAATAATCGAATTTTGTTCATGTTTCATGATTATTATCTCTTTCTTAGTTTTACATTTAAATCAACTTAGAAAAAAAAATATATTAACTTTCATCCCTTTTTTAACACATTAAGGGGTTGAATTTGGAAAAATGCTGAATACAAATTTTATTAAAGAGTGTTTATAATAAATTATAAGGGCATGTATATATCCAGTAGTTAGTTCTATTCAAAAAATCCATAAATACTTTAATTCTCATATTTATATTCTTGAGGGCCGCATTTTGAAAAATGCTGTCTTTTACTACTACTTATGTAAGTTTTAAAAGGAACTTATTGTTAAAATTTTGTAATTCTTTTCACAATATTCCTTTTATAATTAAATTAAAACAAACAAACAGTTGCTTTACATAACATTAATATTAGCCATATGTAGTTTTCGCTAAAAATAACCAAAATTCTTAGAATCTAGCTAGTAACGTAGTGAATGTTATAAATAGATTTATTATTACGACCTTGGTAGTGTAACAGTTGAACATAACGCTTGTCGTTCAAGGGCCGCAGGTTCAATTCTCGTACAATACAAATATATCTATATATATTAAGACTATGATTGTTTGTATTGGTCTTGATCATTTTATATGTATGTTATCTTAAATAGGTATTTACAAATAAGTATTTAAGTATTTATATCAGTTGTTTAGAATTCATAATTCAAGTTCTGTTAAGTTTAGAACAAGATAGCGCTGTGTAAAACCAAGGGCACTGTTTATTAAGTCTATTATTACAATAATGTTATGGTAACAGCCTGTAGTTTCAGATGAAGATGACCTAGATTGGCTGTGTGGCGGAGTGCTGGTCTCCGATCAACACGTCATCACCGCTGCACATTGTCTCCTTTCCGCTGACGACGGATACGAACTGTGAGTGTCAATTATGATGGCTGCCTGCTGTTCCTCCGGTGTTACGGGAACCCCGTCTATGCCAAAGGTATACGCTGGTGAGGCATCAGTGAGGGATGATAGATGAGGATGAAAAGGTAGGTCAGTTAGCCCATTGTGATGAATTCACCTGGAATTGAACACGATGGTTTCCAGGAGGAACCACGGGGAGGTCGACCTGACAGGGTGTATTGCTAATAATGGGGCTATTAATTCCCATTATTAATAATCGCTTTTGCCCCTAGTCACTTACCATCAGATAGACTGCACACTTATTTACCATCAATGTTATAACAAAATAAGTTATTTACTTATATTTAATAAGTATAGGTAATACTTCTGTTACATGACGTAATTTATTTCCAAGTTCAATAATAACGATGACTATAAATTTTAAAATAATCTCATAAACTACGTAATAATAAGTAGTATTTTATCACTTATTAATACTTTATACAATACGAGTGGTAGGGTAAATAGGTATAATATGTCCTTTTGACAGTTTAAGTACCTAACTATACGTAGAGTCGCCAATAAAAAATATAATAATAGAAAAAGATTTATTTACATATTTTATCAACTGAGTGAGCTTTACAGTCTCCCAATATGCTCAAAAATTATATATGTTACTTCATCTTTTGGTCCACCTATGTATGTATTTACTATACCTTTCATACCGTTAAATTAATAACAAACATTCTATCTTTAAAAATATTCACTTTTATAATAATAATAATAGGATAAATACATGCAATAAATAAATTAAAACTATGAATAAATGAAACATAATAAACACATTTAATCACGTAATTGTTTTCTGTTACGTAAAATTACTATAATTTATCGATATCTACTCGTGTTTTATGATATTCCAGCCATTAATAAACAGTTGGAATAACAATAATGATGATGGCAGGGAAATACACGGGAAATTGGAAAGAATATGGATAAATGTTAATTTTATTTAACAAAAAAACCATTAATTATATGTGTTCATTGTTAGATAAATATTCACTACCGAACATGGGCCTTCTCCATAGACTCCCACAAGGAAAGAAGGTGTCTCGCCACTTGAGTCCACTGATCCCCTACGAAATATTTGAGGTCTTCACCCCATTTAGTGGCGAGTCGTCCTACACTACACTTATTAGTACGACGGTGCCACTCGAAAGTTTTTTCCTCATCCTTGTCACAATTTCTGTTCGAAGCTATATATAACCGGACCAATTCCATTTAAATTTGACGTCTCTTTAAACTCGGTCATTTTAGTTCCTCTGAGAATATAATTAATTTCAAATGTATGCTGATACTCACTGATAATCATCAAGTTTATAAAAAATATACAATATAATACAGACAAATTGCATATTGGATATGGAATTGTAACCTACCCTGACGATATACGCCAGTCAGGCATCAGTGAGTAATAATACAAGATGAGGATGAATCAGACGAAGGGAGGGCAAAGGGATGGGCAGCAGCGTTCGTCTTAAAATATCTAAAACCTAATTGCGGTAGCCAATCCGCTTGCCAAACGTGGCAACTACTGGCAAAATGCTCTAAAGGGGGAGGCTTATCTTTAGTAGTGAACAGTTGAAAACCGATATGATGATGAGGATGATGAATGGAACGGCCTCACAGCATTACTAACATACCCCTTGCTTCCTGCATACAGAGTTAACCGTAGTCAGATTACGGGGGAAAAGGTTTGTAATAATGATAATCTAACAGCCCCATTGCTAGCAATTTATCCTATAGGACGACTTCTATGTGGTTTCCCCTGGAAACCATCTCGTTTAATTCTTTATGAATTCCTCACTATGGACCAAATTACTTGTTTCATCCTCACCTATCATCTCTCACTGGAGCTTCGATAGCATATATCGATAGCGCAAGCGAGTTTACCATTATATTATCACCCTTTAAAAAAACCTAGTAACCATACGGAACCTCCATACCTCCTAGGAAACGTTCAAGTTTTTTTTTTTATGGCCGAGTCGAATTGAGCCAAGACTCGAGTCAAAGTGTATACTATTTTATTTATTTATTTAAATGCTTTTTTAGATTCACTTTATATATTTAAAGTAATATAAAGCGTTTTTTTTTTTTCAGATCATCTGTTCGTTTGGGAGAGCATAACACGGAAACAAACCCCGACTGTCAAATTAATGTATGCGCACCACCCGTCCAAGACAGGAAGGTGAAGTCAATCAAGAATCATCCATTGTTCAATAAGCCAGCGTTCCACAATGACATCGCCATCATCGAGTTAGAATCCCCAGTGGAATTAAATGGTAAACACTGATGTTATTACTCGTAATTGATTTTTTAATGTATATAATAGTATAGAGTATATCTCTTCAGATAAAAAAGAATTTTTCAAATCAGTTTATAAACGACGAAGTTACATAGTCAAAAAAATACAACTCAATTAAGAACCTCTTCTTTTTAAGTCGATTGAAAATACCTGCTATTCATTACACAAAACACTTGCATAACAAATAAGTTATACAATTTTATTTGTAGTTTTACTAATGAGAATAAACGAATAAATTTCTTAATAAAATATAAAATTCATTAATGTGACTCAGTAATTTATTTATTTATAGGGTTACCAACATAAGATACAGCTAATCATTTCAATACAATACACTGGTAAATTAGGTCTATCTATTCTTAGATTTATAGCAACTACAGCATGCCTTGTCTTTGATAAACATTAATATAAACAATATAAACAATTAACAACGAAGGTACCGTGAGGACCCTATTAAAATAAAATCAATCCTTGCAAGTTCCTTCAAATCCGTTCACGAGTATGACGGATTATCCAAGCATCGGTGCATTAAACAAATAAATGAATATTTATTTGGAGCTTTTTTTTTATTATTTCAGCCATTAACTGTCCACTGCTGAGCATAAGCCTATTCCGTAAGGGAAGTTTTGCCAGTAGTTGCCACGCTGGACAGGCGGGTTGACAACCGCAGTTAGGCTTTTAGAGATATTTTGAGAGGGACGCTGTTGCCCGTCCCTCGCCCTCCCTTAGGCAACTCTTACGACACCCACGGGAAAGGAAGAGGTGGCTTATTCTATGCCGAGACCACACGGCGATTTGGAACTTAGTGCTTAATAATCACTCGACCTACCAATTCTACAGTTTGTCTTCGTCGTGACCTATATCTAAAATACACATGCACAATAAACGAACTTTACAGTTAGTTTTAATTAATATTTAATAAAATAATTGTAAGCTTCTATAAATTTATTTTTAGATTACGTAGCGCCAATATGCTTGCTTCGAAGTAGGGAGCAGGTGGCTGACCTCCAAATTGGCGAACTGGTGACTGTTGCCGGCTGGGGCAAAATGAACATGACCACCGACCAGCGAGCGAATATTCTACAAGTGGTTATTGTTAGTACTACCTACTATTACAGAAACATATATTAAATATTTGAAATAGCGGAACTCAAGAAATTAGGAGTTCTAAGAATAGTATTTGTTAGGGTTGAGATCAGGAAAAATAGGCAATTGTTAATTATAATGATATATTGAACGAAGTAGGACATGCCGACAGTAACAAAAATACTTATATTAAAATTGGAATTATAAAAAAAATTAAAAATAATTGACACATAGGTACAATATGCAGTTATAATTATGTCTATGAACATACATTTTCTTAAATATTCATACAATAATAGTGTGTCTAGACAATGTTTGTACACATTGGAAATATTTATGAAAAATTAAAAAATAAGATAGGTAGTAAAACCAATGTAAATAAAAATATTTTTTTTTTTTAATTTTTACGTGATATATTGCATATATTGGCTTTCCTACTTCCAAAATATATGCGTACGAAGTAGCGAGCAAAAAGCTAGTACGTCATAAAATCTTTTTTTAATACAATATATCATAAGATTCAATTACTTAAGTATTATTGTCGTTCCATTGTAGTTACCAATTGTGAGCCCAGATATGTGCAGTAACTTCGGCGCTCAATTCAAAGTGTCCCATTCGGAAATATGCGCGGGCGCACAGCACAACAAGGATGCATGCGGGGGAGACTCCGGAGGTCCGCTTATGAAGGTCAGCAACCGTCTTTTGTTACCATCCGAGGTTTTTCCTCATAAAAACTTGACTGGTCAGTATTATTACTTTCACGGACCACACCAAATTGCGGATATGCCCGTTCAAACTCGTCTTCATAGGGCATCGTTTCTCAACCGGGGGTCGTGACGCTTGAGGAGTCACTTTTGTTATTAAAGGGTTGCTCTTTGTTGAAAAATAAATTATAATTTTATAGTAACGGAGTCGCAAGATTTTTTACTTAACTTTTAACTTTCTCAAATGTTGCAACATAAAAATGTTTGATAAACAATGCCATATGGATATCAATGCATAAAAAAATATAGATACTTAATAAGAAAGGAAAGAAAGAAAGTTTTATTGGCAACCAAACAAAAAAAAATCAAAAAAAAAATAAGAAATTAATATTGATAAACTATAGATATTACTTAATGATATCTTAGTTTTCTATCAATGAAATTATTTTTACAATCAAAAAATTTTTTTTTATTTTTTATTTTTTCAGGTATATGACACGCCTGATGGTCCGAAACATTTTTTAGTGGGTGTGGTATCGTTCGGTCCTTCAGTATGCGGTATCAAAAAACCAGGAGTATACTCTTCAGTGGCGTTCTTCCTAAAATGGATACTTGATAATTTATATTGAAATTTGCTTCCATAAAAGCATACCTACTCGTATTTTATTTATTTTAGTACTTCCTCTAGTTAATTGTAATAATTGTAGTCGGCATAAAAGTTTATTGTCGTATTTTTTATGTAAATAAATCGAATGTATGTACTTATGAAAAAATAGTCATTATTTTATTTTTAACCACAATGGGTCGTTTGTTTTTAAATCCTCGAGTAAAGAAGTTCCATATTTAATCCCTTCACCTTATATGAAGCCATAACTCAACAGAAATTGAATAATTTGAAAGAATTATTACAATAGACATGAGCTGTATATGCAGAGCCCTTTGCCTCTCCCTTTGGAATAAACGCATAGATTATAGCTTATTTAAAAAAAAAAAAACAGAACCAAAAAACAATTGAAGCTCTATTACCATGCAACAGAAGCATGACTAGCAAATACGTAGGTACTAACTTACCTATTGTTATTATTTTACAATTAACCAGGGGAGACTTTGTACAAAAGTCGTTTGCTTGGGCACCTCTGTCCCATTCGTGTTTCTACCGTGAAGCAGTTGTGTTTGTATGACTTTGTTTCGGTTTGAAGGGTGGGATATGGCAGTGAATTTACAGGATACAGAGGTATAACACCTGAGTCCTCAGGAATAGCAACGCATGGGGGGGGGGGTATCTAGGGCGAAACAGTATACTCTGTTATGTCTATGGTACTGCTCATGTCTATAGGCGACGGTTACCACTTTCCATCAGGTAGGCCATCAGCTTGTTTGCCATTCTAAGTTGCATAAAAAAATGAAATATAAATATTTTATTTATATCAAATAACAGACTATTACCAACAAATATATTTAAAATTAAATGAATGAATAAAAACTTTTTATTGTTCCCCCCAAAGAATGATAACGATTACATAACAAAAAACGCAAAAACAAATTCTTACAACTGCAATTTTCGACATTTTTTGATTATCATCGTTATAGTGAACGTTCGTTTTAGAGCGAGTTTTACCGTCATAATTCGGATTAGTTTCGTTTATTAATGATGTTTTCCATAAAATAATAATTGTATATCAAAATTGTTGTTATTTATGCCCACTCTAATGGGAGACAAGCGTGACAAATATTTATGGGACACCTATATTCAGTAATTGATGCTAAATAAATAGGTTATAATGGTAATGATATATCCAAATACCCATGCTTCTACTCACAGAAAAGAAGTTATTAGTAAAACAAAGAGTAGCATAAAATATAAGTAGCATTAAAGAGAATGGGAAATCGGAAATGTGTTCTATAATGAAACTAGTTTTGACAAATAAATTACATCCTACAGGATGTGCGTAGGGCAGCAACAGAAAAAATCACCTGCACTAACCTTAGGGCTACTCTAATTACGACTCGACTAACAGGTTTCTCTACGGGATAACCAATTAAGGTAACAAGAACTGCCGCAAAAAAACATAGAGCAACCCATTTGACAAATGACAAAAGCTATCTATAGACATGGTTTCGCAAGCATGATATGTATGTATATAATATAATGAAACTGCAACGCTGCCTACCGCTAGTATAACGTGTTCTTAGGAATTGTTTGAAATTATGCTCACAGCTTCCTTTTATCATCGCACCGCTCGCCAACGACGGGGAATTCATCCTCACACGCCTTTACCTAAATGGTCACATATAGTGCGGTTTCAAAGGAATTTTATCCCGCAAAAGCTCAGATTGTGGAACGAACTCTCTGCTGAGTTTTCCCTAGAGACTACAGTATGGGATTCTTCAAAAAGGGTATATTATGGTTTCTTCAGAGTCGGTAAGGCGCACGTGACATCCCTAATGTTGCAGGCATCTATTGGCTACAATAACCATTTACCATCAGACGAGCTGTATGCTCTTTTACCATCTATGTGGTGTAAAAAATAATTTCTATTTTTTTTTATACAACTTAGAATGGTCAACAAGCTGACGGTCCACCTGATGGAAAGTGGTAACCGTCGCCTATAGACATGAGCAGTGCCATGGACATAACAGAGTATACTGTTTCGCCCATGATACCCCCCATGCGTTGCCATTCCTGAGAACTCAGGTGTTATTCCTCTGTACCCAGTAATTTCTGGTTTTAGCTAGTTTTAAAATGACTACTAATATCGAGATCGGCTGTTGTAAAATGATATACAGAATAACAGCTGTATTCCGTGACTTATATCACTATACAAAATATCCTATGTTCGAAATTATAATGAGAATAAGAATCTATCAGTATAATAATTTCCAAACACGTTTAGTAATTTTTGCATTGAAATAGTAAGAAATATCTATCCCTCGTCTAATAATAGGATTAATATAATAAATATACTTTTATATACTTTATTTTAAATAAAATAATTAAAAGATTATGAAACTGTTTATTTTTATGTGCAATTATAACTTTGCGCCATCTAAGCTATCGATCGCAGCCTCTGAATCTGAGTATAATTTATCGTCGTCGATTCTGTTCAGATATTCTGAAACATCCCCATTAAATGTTTCTGCCGTGTCATTTATAGATACTTTTCTGGATCTGTTAGGACTAGTGAAATGATAAGTTTTCTTTTTGGTTTTCTTTTTAGATTTTCTTGGAGACAGTTGTATACTGTCCACCGGTGCAGCGTAAGGTCTCGGCGCGTAGTATCTCTCAAAGAGCATGGGTTGTTCATGGACTCTGCCATACATAAGCTCCATCTCATGTAGAAATTCTTCTCGTCTCATTTTTTCCTCATCGCGACGTGTTTGCAATCTCATCGCAATGTCTTCCTCGTGGCTACAAAAAGTATAGCATTATAATATTTTATCATCTGAAAATTTAAATATTAATTTTCTACTTATAAACTTATACTCATATTGTTTCTTGCAAAGAAGAGATATAGAATTAGATTAGCAGAAACATTAATTACAACAAATATTCAGTTAACATAAATAAATAAAAAACATAAAAAAATAAATAAATGTTTTTCGCGCCAATACCCTTGCATTAAATCAAATATAATATTATAGCAAGATGTAAGTATAAAATATAAAGTCTTTTAAAAATAAAATATCTATTTACAAAGATTACGAAAGGAGGAATTTATATTTTTACTTGTTCTTTACAAGATGCCAGGCGGGTTTGGAACGTAATAAACGGTCTCGTTGCCTCATCTCCATACGCCTTCGTTGCTCCGACAGACGACGTGCTGCTTCCAATTCGAATCTTCTCCTCACTGCCTCCGCTCTTAATAGGGCAGCAAGGTTCGACCTGCCTGATGCAGCAGCACGCAGTTCCAAGGCAGAGTAGGCCCGAGCCTCTGGAGCATCAGCGCCGCTACCACCGACGCTGCCTGTACTTTTACTCTCCTGGTATAACTTGTTTGTTACTTCTGTCATCTGAAATTTATTTTGATCGCAGAGTTCAAACCAAAGTTGCAATTTTAGAAAAATAAATAACTACCTAGTTTCGGGAATATTTATTTTAAAATTATATGTTCTGCATAATAAAAAAAAAAGTATTTATATGATTACATAAATTTGTTTAAAATTTTACTCATTAGAAAAAAAATTGATTAGTAATAAGACCTCCACTTGTCTATTATTAATTAACTTATTGAAATCCTTCAATAATTCATGTAATACCTAATGGACAATAAAATGTTAAATAAAGCGTACGCATGAGATACACATGCATATGTCTTTTGTACTAACTCTCTCTCTCTCTAGCAAATGCACTACTATTGTATTAGCTTACTTTTTTAGCAGCTCTCTCAGCCGTGTTAAAACGAAATGGTTGCGGGCTTGTAGTAATAAAATCTTCCTTATCAATTTTGTTGCGTCTTCTCCGATTTTTTGTCGGACTGTTGCATCTTTGCCGATCTGACGATGTAACTGAAGGTACTGCGGGTGAAGGATCAATAGGTAAGTCACTATGGGCAGCTGGTGTAGACAGTCGGCTGCGCTCGCGTGTTCCCATTGTGCCTGGGTAATTAGAAGTGCGTAATAGTTCCTCTGCTCTGATGCGACGATTCATAGACCTGCCAAAAAAAAATGATTTCGAAGTTTATAACATTATTAAATATATTTTCAAATGGAAAATTGACAAATTATTAAAAATCTATATTAAGGATCATACCCCTAAAAAATTTATTGAACTTTTTTTATGACATTCAGTTTGGAACTAACAATTTTTGTTTCCTTAACAGTCAAACTGTTAAGGAAACAAAATGTTTTTCAACCCGTTTCTTTAAGGAAAATGATCAGTTTTATAGGGTTACAATCTTATTTAATTTAGCGACAAGATTTGCAACTTATTATTAACAGTGTTTTCTTAAGTATATACTTATGTATAAAGAAGTACATGAATATACTCACCGAAAAAACTCATCCTCTTTTATTTTATCATAAAAATAATTAGAAAACAGATTTTTAGGTACTGGCCGAGCTTTGAACCGCTTTTTTTTCTTGCTCTTGGGTATTGCATGGGCGGCTCTTTCACACATTCCGTTGAGTCCTTTCTCCTCTCGCTTAGTAAAGCTGAAGGGTTTCATTTGGGCCCGCAAGTCTGCTTCGCTATTTATTTTCGTAATCGCTCTTCTGAAATAATTATGAGTACATGACAAATAATGTTAACTGTATCTGTTCATTTAAAGTTAACGTAAACTGATAGCATAAAAAAGATATTACATATAAGTCTAATTATTCAACCAACTTCAAAAAGAAGCAGATTCTTAATTCGGTTATTTTTTTTTACCTCTCAACTTCACCAGTTCTAAACCGATTTGGAAAATACTTTTTTTATCTGAAAGGATATACCTGCAGATTGGTCTCATAAAAAATTTATTAAAATCGGTGTAGTAGTTTCTTTTTAAATCAAAATAACTGGTTTTGTCACAATTAAAGTATGTTTTTTTTTGTAGGCACTATCTTTAATTATTATGTTATTTAAAGAATACTGTATTGCTGTAAAAAAAAAGTAAACAAATAAACCATTTTTTCTTTCAATTACAATCCTATAATTTCAAAATGAATTGAACTTACTTTTAAACGATTAAAATTCAATCGATTTTTTCCAGATTCTAAAAAAGAGGCAGTGTGCGTTGCAACGTGCGGTAATAAGCTCATCTAGGTAATTAAATACGAAAAATGTGTAATATCTTGCGAATAAAACAGAACATCTAATAAGTACTTTGAGTAATATAATATACAAGTAAGTAGGTACTGGATGTGCCTCTGCATCTCGTTCCAAAAGCTGTAAAGTAAATTTTGTTTCACGTAATAAAAGTGATATCTTTATATCCCAACATTCACAAGCTAAAACATAAAAAGTGGAATGTGTACTAAAAAGCATACGTGTGTGTATCGTTTCACCTCATAGCTTGATCCTCCAAAATCTTCTCATACAAAGGAATTCGCGATTCGATTGGCACAGGATTGGCTCTAAATTGCTTTCTCTTACACTTCTGATCAAGCATATCATCTGAGAATGATTTGCGAAGACTTCGTAATTCATTTACAATTCGTTCCTCTTCGTCTCTAAGTCAAAAGAAAAAAAATATTATCACTACACTGAAAAAAAAAAATTGTCAGTGATCCCAATTTATTAATTGTAAGTTTAACCTCATTAAATCATAGCCAAGGATTTTATAATATACCTAATATATTTCATTAGAAATCTTTAAAAGACATTGCTTGAATTCATATACGAGTGTGAAGTTATAGAGATATTTAATAGTTTTGAATTCTGTGGTTTTGACGTACCAAATTTAAAATAAAAAAAATACACATTTTACTAGGTATATTTTAATTATTTTTCGCGACTGTCTTATGTCAATTATCACTATATACTTACATGTAATCTTAGCATATAATATAGTACATATATATCTCACATGTATATAAAAAAATCTTACCTCTCTGTCATCTTGAAAGGCTTAGGAATAGTAACACTTCTGCGTCCTCTAGTCGGTGATATAGTACGCTTCATTCTCAGTGGACTTGACGGCATACTTCGTGTTTTAAATTCATCGTCCTCGTTACTTTTTCTTATCGGAGTATACTTTTTATTATCGAAGAATTTATCGAATTTTTCGTCGACGTCATCCCTTCGTTCAAACTTTGTATCATTCCATGATATTGAACAAGCTGAATGATTTCTTTTCGGCCTTTCTGATTTGTTCTTTTCTTTAATGGAGCTACCCTTTTGAATGAGTTTTGTTTCATTAATAGTAGTTTGTTCATTTGTTTTCATAGTTTTTCTAGAGGGCCGTTTCATTGTCATGTCAGGCGTTGGAATAGAAACTCTAGTTATTTCGCTTTTGACTTTATCTGCTCCTTTTTTTTCTGCAGAATATTTTCTCCTTGAAGTATTATATTTTAATTTTGGTTTCGAAGATATATCTTCCTCTGTTTTACAAAATACCATATCTGTTTCTTCATTTCTATCTTTAATTCTATTGCAGTGATCGATATGTTCAACAGCTAAACCTAGCATTACTTTTTTTTTTTCTCTCAAAGATTTTAACGTAGAATAAAATTCATCTTCTGGCAAATGGTTAATATCATTATAATCAGGAATACTGCGGTAAAAATCTTTTAATTTTTCAGCATCTGCATCAGCAGCAGCAACGGAGTCTACAGTTGACGTCGATTCAATAGAAGCTTGATCTATTACAGGTCTCCTTCGACGTTCGTACGCGGTTTTTGGCATTTTACTTATTGGATCAACAGGAAGTTTAAAACATGAGTTTAAAAATACACTATAACGATGGTTCATTCCGCACTAATGTTGGTGCTTACATTATTATTTATGTCCTAAACCAGTGTCCATGGTTGCTTGTAACCATGGAATAAACTGTATGTGTTAGTGTTGTCATGGTAACTCGGTATAGCTACTACATACCTTAATAATAACTTTAATGAACAGTTAAAAGCAGCTCATAAAAACTTTAGTTAGTGACCTTAGCTTCGCCATATTTAATATTTGCTCATGCCAAATTTATTAAGTACCTACCTATGGATATTCGTATCTACCCATGTATCTAAAACGTATTTAGGTATGTAAATATTCATAACAAGTATAAAGTACTTGTAGACACTTGTTATTAGGACGAAATAATATCACATATTTTTCCATTTTGATTGCCGCTTCATTATCACCCACAAAAAAACACCCAAAAATATGGGGAAGAGAATTGTTAGAAATAGGGTATAGCGAGCTTATTTCTAAAAAAAATACTCTATGAAATCAATCTCTACACGTTCCGCGGTTCAATTCCTAATGAACTTATCGTGATAGGTCAACTAACTTATACCTATCCTATCACCGTACCTGTATACCAAGAGCGTAAGCGCCATTATTATTCCATTATTATCCCTTAAAGTAGTCTGATAGGTAGTCTTATTATATTAATTCTAATGTTCATTTTCTTCTTAGAATGTATATATATATATATATATATATATATATATATATATATATATATATATATATATATATATATATATATATATATATATATATATATATATACATCATGTAAATCAAAAAATATTATTACATGTATTGTATTGGCAGGGAGGAAGTGCAAACTATCATAACCTACCATACCTAACCACTGCAGGCAAACCATCATGCTAAATGCTAGGTATATACATCACGATATAAACTAACTGACCTGCCTTTTCATTCTCACCTATTATCCCTCACTGGTGCCCCACAAGGGTATACAGTTAGCGCAGGCGAGATAACTATTGCAATATTATCCATTCCAACTCACCTGCAAAGCGTGGCAACTACTGGCAGAGCACATCAATAGGGGAAGAATTATGTTTACCAGTGGGCAGTTAACAGCTGACATGATGATATATAATAATACACATAGATAACGTTCGTTGATGCGACCTCTGTGGAGCGATTAAGGAACTAAGAATACTATTACGAATTAGTTTTTTCTGTTGTCACTTGATCATACATGGCACAATTTGTTAAAAAAGTGCATTTAACTTATTAGAAATTTATGAATTTAAGAATTAGAAAAAAATACTGTTTTACATTTAGCAATCATTGGTGAAATATTCGCGCCAGAATTCGTCTAGAGGTATATTAATAATTATGACAGATTGTCATTGTCAAGTCCATAGCGCAAGTGGCTGTCAGGTTTTAAAATTTGTCAATTTTAGTTTCATCTAAAATGAAAAACATTAACTCAATATAAAAACAAAGATTTTTTACTGTTAGTACATTATTAACTATTTGTTACTTTTTAACATCTTATAAAACTTAAGACTCAATTACGATGTTGCCTATGTCTAGTAGCGTTCGACGATTTCTACTAACCAAGGCGAAAACTTACGTTAGAACTGTAACCACTAGCAAACCAGCTACTTCTTTTGATGATGATCAAATAAAACAGAATTATGATATTATAATAGCTGGCGGAGGCATGGTTGGCTGTACCTTAGCTTGTGCTATCGGTAATACATTGATATATTACTTTTAACTAGATTTTTATATTTCCTTTACATAACCAATAATATTAATATTTTCAGGCAAAAATTCTTTACTGTCGCATTTAAAAGTATTATTATTAGAGGGCAGTCCACAACAAAAGTATGAATTTAAACCAGAATATAGCAACAGAGTAGTAGCACTAAACCAAAACACAAAATCTTTGATGAATTCTCTGGAAATTTGGCAGCATATAGAAAAAGCACGAGTTCAACCTGTTAGACATATGCAGGTAAAAGTTTTAATTTCTTTAATTATGTGCAAAATTAGTAATATTGTAGTGTACAAAATTTTTGTTGTGACTTGTTTTGCATAACAGAAATATTATTATATTGATTGACCAGGATAAAAAGAAGCTTATATCCTTCTTCCTTCACAGATTTGTATCAAATTTTGTTATGACTTGTTAAACTTCCATTTTATAATGTTAATAAAAATAAACAATCTCTGTCCATGATATTGATAAAATCACCAACCTCAGTTATTGGCAGCCATATAAATTAAAGAAAAGAAGAAGAATAAACAATAAATTTAAAATAACTTTTTTACCTATAGATATAATAAACTATATATTTGCATTAAAGAACATTATAAACAACATATCACTATTTTTATTACATTCTGCAATTTTAGGTTTGGGATGCATCTTCAAATGCATTAATATCTTTCAATAGTGCTGACATAATGGATGATGATGTTGCTTACATTGTTGAAAATGATCTACTATTACATGCAGTAAACAAAGAATTGACGTCTCCTGATCTTAAAAATGTAAATATAGTTTATGGAGCAAAAATATCAGGATATGAATTATCAAAACATGAAGCATTGACAAGGAATCTCATAAAAATGAACAATGGGGATACTTATTCATGTAAATTACTGGTAAGTAAAAATAAAATATGTACATAGTATAATAATAATTTATTTTTAAATGACTAGATAAATATTAACACTGATTTGATATCATATAAATTATGATAATTCCAAATATTTAAATGTACTAAAAATTATCAAATATTTTAATTACTTTAGTATTGAAATTTTTATAATGGCATAAGTCATATCAACCCTATTTTTGTATTAAAAAAAACCATATTTTAAATAACCATTATATAACATATTTTCAAGAGAAATATTTACTGCGAATGTTTTATACAAACATACTTTTTTCTTTAAAATATCAGCAGTCTAGAAAATTGTGTATTCTTTCACAGATAAGTTCATTGGTCTATTACTCTCAAAAATGTAATTACGTATTATTATTATTATACTCCTAATTAAAAAAAATATTATTTAAATTTAATTGCTGCTTAAATAATAAATTTAAATTATTATTTAAGCAGCAAGTCTATAAATTAAGGACATCAAACTGATAACATTTCACACAATATATTGACATTCATTTCACACAATACACAGATAGTCATAGGTTCTTAAAATAACATGATTTTTTTATGGAGGTTGAATATCATTTAATTTCTTTTCAATCACATTAAGTCTTGATTCATTAGTTTCTATCAATCTATTAATTTTTTTCGACATTTCTGCTAATTGGGTTTTAATATCAACCATACAGATATCCTGTATAGAATTGATATTTAATGAAACTGGTCTACCCTTATTCTCTGCAGATCCTGAAGTAGTCTTCTTCCTTCTCTCAACATGTTGGCTCTCAAATGAATATCGATCATACAAATAGCTTTTTCTTTTAACTACTTGTTTCTCTTTTTCTTCCTCTCCTTTACATTTACCTATTCGTAATTCATAGTTGTTGTTCTTTCGGATACTCCTTTTTGTATCCTTACGGCTGGCAACCATTTTATAAATTGATGCTATTAATTCTTTTGGTATCTGAAATTTGAATGATAGATTTGTTTAGAAATGTAATTTCTCTATGTTGCTAATTAAGTTAATAGAAGCCTAGAAGGGGAATAATATTTCTCTTTGTATTAGGTATTTTGACAAATAATACATCGAAACTTTCCACTTGTTTGCAAATGTGATTAAGGCTACAAAGAATAACTATTACCAGGGTGCATAGCTGTCACAGAATAATCTGTGGCTCTTTCATGTGATGTTTTCTCAATAATATCGCTGACATATCATATACATATATACCATTCAGCACTGCAGCTAGTTATTACAATCATAAGCGAAACAGTAATATATGCAGATTATATTGCTTACAGTTAAGTTAAAAGAAAGAAAACTGTATGCTTTAAGTTGCTAATATCTGTTACTAATAATTCCCGTCTATAAAAAATTTGCCTAGCCAGTGAAACTAATCAAAATAATAATAACAAAAAGCTTACCCTGTTTTCCCTAGGATCGTTTGGTCTAATATTCAATGTTCTTGTATGGGATGCTGTTAATAGGGCCCCCCATCTGAGTACCGCCAGTAACTGCTTTGGTGCACACGTTAACAACGAACTAAATAGCATACTCTCGAGGTGGGCTACTAATTGCGTTTGCCGTACCAATCGGTCCAAACCAGCTCCTTCTTGCAGAGCCTAAAATTGTCAATGTACATTATGATTAGGCACCTATATACTTGATTTATTAATGTTGATTTCTTTGCCTAATCGGTATATTGCACTTTCAAATATTAATAAATACTGGGCGTATAAAAATAATATCTCTCTAATAGACTTTACAAAATATTCTAAAACATATTAATCTAATTTTGATAACAGTAAATTGATTTATGCTGGGTGAATTCGATATATTTGTTCTTAAATATATACATTTGTTGATAAAATACAATTTTAAGCCTCCTATACCGTCTTTACACTCGGCCGTGCCGTGTCGTTTTTTGATCCATGTTTCTCGACAATTTGTTTCAATTTTACTAAGAAAATGCTCCATTAAAAATGCCAATGATTTCAACTGCAGTTAATTCTATATATTTTATAGAGTCGTCTAGACATTTTGTTCAGTTTAAGTGATTAAATTTAACAAAATACTCACCTGAATGTCGCTAACGGCTAAACCAACCAGCAAATTAGTCAATATAACAGTAACAAGCAGTACAAATATTAAGAACATCCCATGCGCCGTCAATGGATATTGGATCTGAGAGTTGGTACAGTTGTTGTAGAATATATCCTCATATTCAAGCTCTCCAGACATCATCATAACGGTCTTAACTAAACCAGCGGGAAGGTGGAACGCTGGGTAGTTGCTAAATAGCACGCTGAATGCCAGACCAAAAGCAACAAGCAGACAACTGTATGCCAAGAGAAATGTTGCAAAATTTACTGTCACTGAAAAAAAAAAACAATTATCTACATTAATATGTACATATGCTAATCTATAAGATACTCATTGACAAAGTCGAAACGGTTGAATTGGTAACAGCTCTGAGTCCGATGTAGTAAGAGACACAGGTTAAAATCATTTGTTAAGTTTTCATAATATAAACTGCGGCACACAGTTCGGATAATAAATATGTCGTAACATAATAAATGCACGCAAGTCATTTTATTTTGTAAATACATAAGAAAGATAATATAAAAATATTAAATTATGAGAATCTTGTTGAGTAACATAACTTACCTGTAGTAAACATTTGTACATATAAGCCAAAAGTTGGAAATCGCCCTATGATCATCATCAGCTCCAACCAACAGAAAAATATCGTTATAGCGGCTACGTCATGTTGCCAGTCTGATGTATTATGCCTTATTGCTCCATTATCCGTATCCCAACTAGGTATCTATGAAATTTTTTTAATAATATTAATAAATACCATACAGTCACTTCACTTGTCTATTTAATTTGAACGCACTTTATTTATTTATTAATACTTAATTCTGCTATTTATCAGTTAAATATAGAATCTATTATTACTTCACGAATATTATAATAATGCTCTTGCTACTAAAGTGGCAGTCTCTGATGAGTTGTATACTTGGGCAATTAAAATTTCAGAAAATCCAATAGCAGTAAATTGATCAGACCGAAAATCTCCCTTTATTTTTATTTTTTAAGGTCTGGTAAGCCAGTTGCTTACCAAACAATATACCACAAAGATATTAAAATGTTATGATCAATGACAAAAATTGATAACAAATACTTACTGTACACAAAAAAACACCGAGAATTATCCCACATTGTAACCAATTTTCCCATTGTCGAAAATAAGCGGACCAGTCAAGAAACGCTTGAAACATTTCCTTTGATAAGAAACATGTGTTCAATAATAGAATTAAGTACTGTACCGGACGAAGGTAAGTTGGTACAACACATGTGACATCTTCACATAAGAATATTTCTGTAACAAAAAGAGAAATAACTAAACTTTCTGATAGTCTAATAGAAACAATAATCTTTCAACGTATAATAATTTAGTACTCACGTAATATATACAAACTATATAGTGAAATAAATAATGCATGATATATAAAACTGAGAACAAAAAACTTGCGAATTATTCTCCATTTTAAATATAGAAATGTTTCCGCCACAGGATGTTTTAAAACATCTTTATGGCCCACCTGAAATATGAATTATTAACTTCCATTATGCTGCAGATGCCTACGTCGTAATATAATACAAATCAAATATAATATAACTGCTATAAACATTCGGTTGCTAGTCGTAGTTGATTATAATAAAGGGATGCAGAACTGCTAGTACCTCTATAAACGCAAGTAATAACTCGGCTTCACCCCGCGATAAACATGGCACTAATGGTCTAAAATCAATGGTCAGCTCACAGTCCACGTCGCCGAGTTCATGTTCACTTACATGCACAGCGTCATCGAATTTACATAAATATCGAGGGATGACATCTGGTACACGACGAACAATAAATGATAGCGCTGATACGCCTCCATTGGTTCGAAGTGTAACATCACCACCATAATCTAAAAAGTAGAAGAAAAAATAAGAAAGCTGAATATGAAAACAGCATTAATACAACGTTCTGAATAAATTACCTAATAATAATAAAACACAAGCCGAAAATTCATTTAGTGCAGCTATGTGTAAAGGAGTGTATCCGAAATGATCTGGTGCATTTGGATCAGCACCAGCTGACAGCAGTAGGCGTGCAACATCACAAGCTCGTGCTCCCCGTACGATTGCTCCGTGTAAAGGAGTTCTTCCATCGCTATCCTGAGCTCTCACATCTGCATTTCTCCCGGTTAAAAGCTCTACTACCTCCACGGACTGCGCTAAGGCCGCTGTAACAAGAAAAAGTCGTCATAAAAAGAAATTTTATTAAATTAAGAAACCAACAATGTTTAATTCATTATTTTAATACCTAAATGTAAAGGTGTCTGTCCCCTAAAATTAGGCCGATCAATATGTGCTCCATGGTCAAGAAGTAGTTGTGCACACTCAGCATGGCCATCTTCTGCTGCTAAATGAAGTGCGGTGGCACGCCCCGGACCCATCGCAGCTCTAACATCAGCTCCCGCATCTAATAGCAACTTCGTACAGGATGCTGATCCTAAGGATGCCGCCACATGAAGTGGAGTTTCTGTATACACCTGGAATTTGTCCGATTAGGAAGAATTAAAATTTCGTTGTTAAAATAATTTTTATTCAATTAAATTTAATTAATCATAAGCAATTTTGGATAGTTTTAGTTAATTTCTTAAAATTTTTCATTGATTATGTCTTCCTTAACAGTATCCATATAGCTCGAATTGCGTGTTATTGCAGAATAAAAATATTCTGAATATCAGTTGTTTTTCCCATAATATTCCATAAGAGCGTTGTAATTACAAGGTTATTTACAAAAATACAATTCAGATCAAAAATGATTGATGGAAAACATATACCTGCGGAGTGTCTGGACAGGCTCCTGCATCTAACAAAGCGCTTACTACGTCTTTCGCATCACTTAAAACAGCATAATGTAATGGAGTACGTTCATTGAGACCCGCATTTAAATCGGCACCATATTCTATAAGCAACTATAAAAATAAAATAGGATACAATAAGTCATTAATCATTGGGCTTTTGAGTTATTTTTATATTATTTTTGTTATTTTTTTCCCCCTTTTTACCTTCACACAGGGCAATGATTTCGCGCTCGCAGCGCAATGTAATGGCGTAGCTTTTCTATCAGTGTAAGAATCCCATCTATTTGGATCAGCATTATGTTCCAATAGTAGTTTAGTACATTCCTCGCTGCCTACCAAACAACTTAAATGTAAACATGTCCTGAAAGAAGTATATCATTGTATTTTTTCGATTTCATTTATAATTTTCTTTTTTATTTTATTCTAATATTTACCTCCCTACTTCATCACAACTGTTCGGATCAACATCCAAATTCATGAGTCTGGCAAGTAGTGAACTTCTACCAAGCCAGCAAGCCCATAGCGCTGCTGTTTGATCAGCAATTCCTCTTTCTGATTCAGATACTAAGCTGATAGTTTCTTCGTATTGTCCCGCTTCTATGAGCACGAATATTTCTTCCGCTTGTGGAAGCTGGCGTAAACTATATAAAATTTCATCTGTAGGGAAAATTTTTTTTGGACATGTTGATATATGTTAAAATTTTCGTAATAAATATTATTTGTTATAAATTGTACAAAAATACATCTATGTACCGTGTAATTTTTATGTTTATAAAAATTAAATCATAATTATTTATTCAATTTTTCATATTTAGCATTTGATTGATGGATAGACATACCAACTTCCCAAATATCCCTCGATGGTTTAACTCTCAGTCTTGCTGCAAGATCGGCAGCGTGTCCCGATTCATCGCTAGAAATATATGCGGCCTCCACATCATCGTCCGAGTCCTCAGGCACCTGACTCATAGCGCACCATCGTGCACTACCCTCACGGTACAACTGTCATAATAAGTTTTATTAATAATCCGGAAGGATTTACATTTCTGTTTTGTGGAAATAAAACAGAAATGTAAATAATAATATCTTTTAAGAATGACGCATTATTAACATTTTGATTGAGCGCTTATTTTAAACCGCGCATTGAAAGAATTCACCACATCACACATATACAACTTATATTTCATCTGGTGTAGGATATCGATATTTGATTAATTGAGAATATTTAAATACGTAGCACAAAAATATATACATGTGACAGTTTTAATGTATTCTACAAAGCACATGTAATAAAAACAATATTTGCTTTCCGTTTTTCACGAAATAATAAATAATACATTCTTAATATAGGACACGATTCACTTTTAATATTTTGATGTTGAAATCACATCAAGCGATATAAATATTGACCTTTTTCTTTTTCTTCACGTTAGACATGCCTGCGCAAGAGCGGCAACCATGCGCGCGTTTCACTCAAAACTGAAAGCGCTCTTAGTTGATAACTGTCTAGACCGACGTCTTACATATTTCGGGAACTATAATGGAACCGAGAGTTCATTTAGTTCCTATGTCATCAATATCTAGGTAACAGATTTTCTTATGTAGTTTCTTTTCGCGATCGTATGTGTTGGCATCCGCGTAGACTTTATTCTCTCAAGCGGTTATTATTTACGACATTACTGACTTTGTAATAGATTTGTTTTTGGGAATCATGTAGATTTCAACAACAATTATTTATATTATTACAATTTTGTTACGTTGTATACTATCGTTTATTTACTATTACGTATTTAAAAATACAATTTATTGAAATTTTTGTTTTAATTTTATACGAATACATAGAACAGCAAACTGCTGACGGCCCGCTTGATGAAAAGTGGTTACCGTCGTCTATAGTCTTTAACAGAATTGTAGACAGCGAACAGAGACATGATTATTTGAAATGCAATTGTGTTCTCTATTAAATATTTCTTCAGACTATCTATATGTATGTGACTTATGTATGTCTTATGACATACCTACCCACAATATAAATGACATTTTATTACGGCGCCACGCGTCGCGTCATTTATTCGTATCGGCCTACACGATTATTTTTAACATTTGAACTATTTACCAATACCGTTTGGCATTATTATCTGAATTCAGGTGAATACTGGGACTTCTTCGAAATGAATTCGAAGACTTGAATCTAAAGATCTAAACAATTTTTCTAAAAACTATAAATGACATAATACAGATCTCCATAATTCGTTACTTTCGATGCCAACTTTTTATTTATACTCAAAATGGATAGATATGATTGAGATACAGAATGTATAATCGTTATTAATCTACTTATATTTTAGTGCTATGACGCGTGAAATATTATTATGATCGTTAATATATCTGTTCTCAGTTACTATTATATAGTTAAATATTTTTTATGTCTCAATAACTCTATTACTAAGTATTGCATTGCTTAATTTTTAAAAATACTTACATTAGAGAGATAGATAAAAAAATTGTTTGCCTCTAAAACTAAACACACGCGTCGAATTACGATTTAAGCAGAGTTAATAATAAACAGTACATTACATTAATAAATTTAAAATTAATTCCACAAATAAAAATTATCGACTTTAGTTGCGACAAAACCAGTTATTATTATTTAAAAATTAAATTATTGAACTGATTTTTATAGAATTTCTTGGAGACCAACCTGTAAACCCTTTCCAAAAAAAAAATTTCAAATCGATTTATAACAGACGGTGTTATGAGGTAACAAACACAAAAAAGTACAACCGAATTGAGAACTTCCTTCTTTTTGAAGTCGGTTAAAAATGTTTGATTGTGATTACATTTGAAATCCCTTTTCTTGCGAAGCAAAAATATACTTGCAAATAATATCCTTTATAACAGCTATAATATTTTTATTACACACTAGCGACTCGTTCCGGCTTCGCACAGGTGGACATTTTTACATTTTAAAAACTAGCCATTAAGGCTGCACACGCGACGGAAGCTTAAAAATGGAGTAACTTCTCCCGTTTTCCCAACATTTCCCTTCACTGCTCTGCTCGTAGCGTGATGAAAAGTATACTATAACCTGCCCATGAGTATAAAGAATAACTGGTACCAAGTTTCGTTAAAATTCGTCGAGTAGTTTTTGTTTCTATAACGAACATACAGACAGACAAAAATTTTACTGGTTGCATTTTTGGCATCAGTATCGATCACTAATCACCCCCTGATATTTATTTTGGAAATATATTTCATGTACAGAATTGACCTCTCTACAGATTTATTATAAGTATAGATAAAACTTAATAAAATGTATTGATATACCTATTAAGTATATCTAAATGTAAAATACTGTGTGCCATATGCAATTAACTATTAACTACTCGTGTATAAAATTATTTATACACGAGAATACTGTAATTATTTTAACCGTGATCATTCAAAGAATCGTGTTTGGATATTCTTTCTTTGATCTTTTGATGTGGGACAAATGTAGCCGTCTTGCTATTTATTAAATGAGGATAAATGTACGGTCTCTTAATATCCATGGAATACCTAATTAATTTCAGACAAGTCATGATTTCTGAGAACTGCACTGTATAAATTACATACTTGCTAAGTATTTTCAACTGCGTTATTTTAAATGTTATTTACCGACTGAAATTAGCTGTTGTTCATAGGTAGTCGTTTTTAATTATTAAGTATTACTTTTAACTCATAAATATTCAAATAGAAGTCGTCTCTGTAATGTATATGTAATTTTGAAAATGGCGTGCTTTTCACAAGGACTACTTTTATTACACTAAGTTCATTTTATTTATTGTATTATCAATACTATGCGTGTATATTATATGAAAGTTTAAAACATTCGAATGCAAAAAAAAAACATCACCTAACGATTTATTTTTTCATTTTTTGAGACGACTTCTAAAACTTAACAATGTATCTAGATATATATGTTCTCTGTTTGAGTGGTAAAGATACTTTTCTGCCTAACTACTTAAAATGTGCAAAGCTGCCCATACCCTACGCAAAGCCTACCTATTGGCAGTGAGTGACTTGAACAAATTGTCTTCACGTACAATATTTAAGGTAAACATGTCATTAACTGTAACTAAAACCATCTGCTGTTAAGCAATGTGCAAACAATTGCCTCGAACATCCAATATTAGCTCAACAGCACGTGCATAACTTCATCGATTTACACAATTGTTACAAATACTGCTTATGAGAGTAACATTTTATAGTTTAACTAGTTGTATCCCTCGCCTTTGCTCGTGGTCGTGTTGTAATGTTGAGTAACTGTCTTTAAGAAATCAACTATTAAATGCAAAAATAATTTTTCAAATCTGATTAGTGACCAAAGATTAGCGCCTACAGACAAACTCTTCTGCTTTATGTTATAAAGACCAGAACAATATATATATATATATATATATATATTGTTCTGGTCGGAAAGAGCTAAATATTCCAGAGATGATTTCACGTTCACTATAAAATGAATGTGTTATTTATAAAAACCTGTCCTGGCTGATTCATCTATCAATGTATGCTAAACCACTGCAATTATAACATGAAATTTCGTATATTTAGTCTCTTTCAATATAAGTAAATCAAAAATTAACCAAATTTAGTTGAAAAATCACAGAAACACTCATTTTTTATTTGTATTTACTTTGAACATCAGCAGAGTGTGTTATGGGCTGTATATAGTAGATAAATTATTCGTTTACTTATATTTGCATTACGTTCTATTGAAACAGGCTGTATATTCGAAATTTCATGTTTTAATCCGAGTGGTTTAGGCTATACGTTGATGGATTAGTTGAACAAGATAGTTTTTCATAAATAATACATTATTTTATTGAGAACATGATAATTGACACGTATTTAATTTGAATGAAATTTAGCATACAAATATAAGGGATTTGATAAGAGCGATAGAAATCAAAACAAATTTTTTTAGAAATTGTGCTCTGTATATTAATACGGTTTTTACAATGTTATTATTGAAGCACTAACTTAAAAACTGATATATGTTTTAGCTTCATACATTATCTAGAAATAGTCTATTTCCTTTTTTTACTTTCCTACTTCTGAAATCCGCTTGTACGAAATAGCGAGCAAAAAACTATCCTGGATAAACATAAAACAGTCACCTTTTCTCTCGGACAAAGCCACTAGATGCACCTGTATATGTATCAATTAACGACTGTCAAATGATTACCATATCTAAATAGGAAAAACTTTAAAACAATGATAGGGATAATAACAGGGTATTGCACCTTAATTAAACATACAGAATTGGGGCCGCGAATAACCCTCTATGTCGAGGCTGTTTTGACGTTGAAGAGACGGTTGCCCACGTAATCCTAGAATATGTAGCTGTGGCCTCTCAAAGTTTAGAAATTCTCGGAACAGTGAGGTCGCTTCGTGAAGCCTGTGGAGTTTCCAGAAAGCTTCTATGCTTCTGGGCGGAGCTTGACTGGTTGTACTATCCACAACTCATACGTACAATGGCTCAAATGAGAGGCTTAGTGCCGAGAAAAGAGTCCAATTTATATTACATGTTTTTCGACCACAAACGATACTAGTTGTAACAAACGCAATAAATAATATTCCCTTTTGTTAGCCGAGATAAGTGTTTACATTATTTTGTATGAAAGAAACGGCCTATTTTAGCCTATGTTTAGACAACCATTCAGTTGATGGGTGTTGCTTTAAACCGTTTCAGCTAAATATATTTATCAAACCATGAACTAGGTTTTACGTTGTCTGTGATGATTGACTAACGATTTGTTAACCAGTTAACCGTTCAATAGGTATAAGTACCTGTTATACAGCTCGCCAATTATATCAACAACGTTGTTCATTGCTCCAGTAATTGTTTAAAGTATCTTGCACGATTACTTGATTTCTAAAAATAAGTATATAATAATCTTGATTTATAAAAGACGGTGCTGATTGATTAATTGACCCATATATCAACGCATAGGCAAAACCACTAGATTATTATAGATTGATAATTCTTGAAATTTTGCAAATAGGTTCATTATATAGTAGGTGAACCATAACAAAAGAATTTTAAAAATTCAACCCTGAAAGGCGTCAAACGGGGATTGAAAGTTTGTATGGAATTTCATCAGTTTAAGAGTTACGTGAAATTTTATAGAACAAGAAATCAAATGCCATATGCGAGCGAAGGCGCGAGCAAAAGCTAGTATGTATATAAAAATATCATATCGCGATTTATTTAAGTTAATTTCTCTCCGAAACTGCTAAACCGATTTTAATGAAATTTAATAAATATTGTATTGTTTGTTCCAAATTGAGAGATTGACCTATAGGAGGCAAAAGCAACATTTGCCGCGTCAGCTAGTAACGTAATAAAAATAATATTTTGGTGTCACTGGTTACCAATGTTGCCCGATTAGTAACAATAAATTTGCGTATTATTTCCGCAGTTTTGGAAAATAATTTTTGTGTTTAGGAAATTATGAAAAAATTTAATAGTTGAAAAAATGTTTGATGAAAAGGGCGTGGAGGAATTTTGTATTTGTAAGTAGTACAGCTGTGTATAAATAGAATATATCACCAATAAGATAAAGAAGGGCAGTGTCTGCCTATTTAAGTATTGTCTATTATTTATATTACTTAATAAATTTTTCTTTCTCAATTTTTACTTTTTCTTCTATTTTATTTGCTAAACCATTTCATAAATAGAGTATGTACTGTTTATAATCATACAGTAATAAATAAGCCTTTATTAAAAAAAAAAAAAAAAAAACATTATTATTTAAATGTACAAAGGTGACTGTAAATTATTGCTTTTGTTCCATATATAGAAGTCGACGCACTACTATTCCACTGATCCCTTCCTTACTTGGACTCACTTCACGTAATATAAAAGTAAATATTGCTCTAAAATTTCTGTTAATTAAAATATGACTAGAAATTATGCTTTTTACCACTTTATTACATTTTTTTTTTTAAAAACAAACTATTATGGAAATACACAAAAATAAAAATAAATATGATGATGATATAAATTTAAGTTGACGATCAAAATACAAATAATTAAACCCTATTCAATTATTTTTAAATTAACTAATAAATATATAAACTTAGTCCTCAATATTAAATCGCCTGAATATTTTTTGTAGACATGCTACACAGCGTATTTAAACCGATTTTGATTATTCTTTTTAATTTTTTAATTTAAATTTTGCGGAGTAAAATCAAATACAAGATTTTACTCCGTAAAGAAGATCGTAGAAAGGTCGTAATATTAAAAAATAATTAGTGTGAGTACAGATGCTACCAATGCTTACCGGCTGTAAATTGTCTATAACTGTGTCACACAGCATAGTCCTTGTATGAACATTAACACTAATCCCACTCAAACCACTGGACACCACTGATTGATAGAGGCACTCTCATATATTTTTATCTCACTTTCAATGAAAAACCATTTATTTAACCCCATTAACACCATAGGCGGCTCACCGCGTCCCACTTTGGCGGTAAGTGCCGGTGTATTAACAATTCTCCTTGATTTTTCTCAGAAAGCAGATCACTTATGACGCAATGTATAATATTTTACAGATGTTGATCCATATCTTAGTTGTCTATCTTCAGACAGGCAGAGATGCATCTTCATTTATTTTTATTTACCTCAAATTTCTTTACAAATAGGAAAAAAATTGTAGATATGAGTATAGAAACATTTTGATAACAATTTTTTTTAAGCAAATAAATGCATTAATATTAAATCTAAAAACAATTACCTTTTTTATTTATATTAGGTGCTAATTAACTACCAAATGTATAAATAAACAATTTAATACACAGTACCTAAGCATATTATATATTATATGCACATTCTTTGATTTTATTTTCACATATAATATTTACATATAAGAATAACTACTAGTAATATAGTACTAGTATAACTATTAATCGAAACCAATTTGCAACATCTATGGTAAATAAACATTTCAACAACTGTACAAAACACCCGGACAACGACCTATAAAAATGGTTTTAACATACACTATACTTGCACTGTATTAAGTGGTAAAAAAAAAAACTAAAATATTTAATAAAACTTTCCAAAGAAATCAACGCTACCTCATAGCGTCTCACTGAAATATCTTTTGCCTAAGATTACCCTCTTACCAAAACACACACTGCAGTTATTGCGAACCGATCACTACCATTGTTTACATTATGAGTTTAATAAAAATAGCCACTATTCGCGCACACTAGCTAACAGTGTAAAGAGGTGTTCAAGATATATGTAGCTGAATATTGTACAAGATAGCATCATAAATGTTATTAGATAAGTACACACTAGCACAGGTAGAAGAAATAGATATTTAGTACTTTACAAAACATAGCTATATTAAAATATATCACTCTGACACAAATGGTTATAAAGTTAATCACCTAGAATCTATATAGAGAAATAAAGAAATGTTTAGTCATGTTCCTGAACCACCGTCTTACGTATTTCCTCTAGAAACAATAATTAAGATTGCTAGTGTAATCTTTAACACAAGAAGAATTAATTCCTAAAAACCTGCAATGATACATTTATATTATTCTATAATACCATGACGACCAGTTTTAAAAATAGTGGCTCAGGCAAAGCATTATTTGAAAGTAACAGTGAATTTTCTAGTGCTTCTTGGCTTAAATTACTTTAGAACTGACGATAGAATTTTCTTTTACAGACACGTATCACGTCCATTTTTCTTATTGAGTTAAATATAATCCAATCGCTTAACTTGGAGCAAACAACAGAAATTTACAAGATTTCATTAAAATCGGCTGTGATTTCAAAGATTGATATGAACGAACATCGTGACAAGAGATTTTTATATATTAATTTGTAATCTTACATTTTTTTATTTTTATTCGACATAATTACACCAATCCTCAAGTTAGGGTACTCTGTCTGCTGCGGCCTCTGACCGGTTTTCTCGCTGGCCGCTAAGACATGTTCCGCGACGATAAATTCGGACCTTTCGACCCTTACAAGCGGTCGATCGACCTTTCACTGTCTTATGAGAACCCAGGCCACGAATATCTAAGGCATAATCCAGAACATGCAGAATAAAGCTAAATTTTAAAAAGTTAATTTTCTAATTTGGTCTAACTATCGAATCCAGGTCTTCATTTACGCAGCATACTCATCTGCGCCGTGGAGTTCCTCTATTTACATTATTTTCGATTAATAACACAAAACAAGAAACAGACGTCAAGCCATTTATTTAAGCAATATGGTCGGAATGAGATGTTGCATCTTTGCGCAGTGCTCTCAGCTTTGCTTCTCTACTCAGCTTTGGGTAGATATAAGCTGATATAATATGGGCTTCTGCTTGTCTGCTACTCCCATTCTTAATAGTATACGCAAAATAACGCGGAGTTTTAATATTTTGGGAGTAGTATTTTTTTATTAATGAAAATGGAATGGTAACCCGCCGGAGCTACTATTCCATCTTCATCTATATTGATATACGCTGGCGGGGTACCAGTGAATGGTGACAGGTGAGGATGAAGGCAGGTCAGATGGCCCATAGTGACGAATTGAACAAAAATTAACCACTGGTTTCCAGGGAGAACCGCGTGGAGGTCGACCTGATGTGTATTGCTAGCAACGAGGCTGTTAAATCTCATTACTAACAATCCCTTAACCTTTGGGAGTAGGTTAGTTTCGAAACTACTGACTATCCATTTAGACAGGAAAGTGCCTATAGCCTCAAGGGTGCAGGCACTTTCTTATCTAGATGGATAGATACTCTTTAATGTTTCTTCCATAAGATTACAATAGTAAACTTATTATAAATACAAACAATTACAAGAAAATATAACACCAAGAAAACAATGGGCGGTCTTATTGCTCAGAGAGATCTCGTCTAGGCAACCTTTGGATGGAGAAGAATAATTTTTAACAGTTTGAGTGAACGCACGAAACTGTTCGTTTTTTAAATACATATTGAGATATGCATACGTACAATAATGTCTACCTTCAATTACGAAAGCAAAAACCTTAGGATCACAGTAATATTTATTATTACTGTGTATACCATTTATTTCACTGTTGCGTTTTAATTTTTAGATAGGCGCAGATGGTGCTAACTCCGCTGTCCGCAACGCCATGGGAGTACAGTACTTATCATGGAATTACGATCACATGGGTGTAGTGGCTACTTTGCATCTCGCTGAGGTAACTATAAAAATATTTCTTGAACTCCTTTTCATAAAATCCTGATTCCTATTTACTTTCTAAATTTTGAATTCTTCATTCCCAATTTTTTCTGTTTTTCAAATCCTTGCAAGTAGTTATAACTCATAATATCCATAACGTGTCCACATACCAAATTCCCTTATGAAATCTATGGGAATAAAGGGTTTTAATACCTTAATGATGTAATTATGATATCGTTCTTTATCGGTACTGAGGAGAAATATAATGCAAATTATAGATTAACGCTAGATCATATGGAAAACATACTGAACCCATACTAAAATTTAATTTACGGTACCAATAACCTTCCTGGTTACAACGGGCAATACATATTTTGGTTATTAATTTACTTCATGTAATCGTATATAGGTTGATATTGCTATAAAGTCAATTCACATTATTTCCTCGTATAGCCATCTATTGACAGCAACCGATATTTAACAATAATAATTAGCATGCCATTACGTTCCATTTACTTGCCTCAACACAATACACAAATTATAGATAATTGCTTGATTACTTCATTATATGACAAGAGATGGCAGTAGTGTAACGAAATTAAACTATTAATTTTATTTATAATATTAACGCCATGTCCCTTACCTATTACAATACAATTAAGAACATTCGTCATTCGCTTCATTGTGTACCTATACATATTTCTATAGACTACTTTTAATTTTTCTTAGTATTTTATTTTTATTTCACAGATAACAGATAAATATATAATTTATTTGCAAGTATATATTATTATTACATATTATTAATATATATATATATATATATATATATATATATATATATATATATATATATATATATATATATATATATATATATATATATATATATATATATATATATAATTTGTAAATAATACGGCGCAGCAACAGATATTATCTATATCTGTAAGTAGCTGTTTGTTTTGTATTATGCGCAAAATAAGAAACAAAAAAATACATTCCAAAAAACGAAGTAACATAATTTTTCATTTCGTAAGCTCCTTCCCTGTGGATCTCGTAAGAGTCGACTGAGGTAACTTATTGGTCAAACATAGCAACTACTGGCAAAACCTTCCAATGTTTGTCATTGTCTATGGTGGGGGCCTATGTTCAGTTCAGTTCAGTGGACAGTTAACGGCTGATATGATATACCTTTATGTACAGGAAACAGAGAACACAACAGCTTGGCAACGCTGGCTGCCAACTGGCCCAGTAGCGTTGCTGCCGCTCGACTCCAAGCGGAGCTCTTTGGTATGGTCCACCACTGTCGACCACGCCAAGCAACTACTACAGCTGCCTGAAGAACAATTCGTCGATGCTCTTAATGACGCTTTGGTAATGACTTTTTTTTAATAATAACTCGGCGTGTAACCACATCGCTCTGAGCGAACAGTATTGTGCATGAATGCAATCAACTGAAAAGAAAAATAAGTTTTTTAGTATTTCTTTATTTCCTATAACGGCAAGGGAATAACCGAACCTTAAATCACATATATGTATATAACACACGTAAGTCCTAGGGAACTATGACTATGGTATTTATATTTTAACTGCTATATTGCAAAAATCCATTTCATTCAATCTAATACAGAAAATAACAAAAAGTATATTTTTAAAATTTTGGTATTTTTTTTAAATCGAAACACCATTGCTAGCATAGTTACTTTATGGTAGAAACAGAAGTACACTATCCATAAAGACGAATCTTGTATAAACTTTACTTAGCCATTCACATACATATGCTAATACATATGAAAATGTAACAATGATAAACAGACATAAGTGTTAAACTTACTTAGCTAATGACAGCTTAATCGACTCCACAGTGGAAACAGTACCCGCACAGCAGTGCAGTAGAGGCATGCACATCATGGTTCGGCTCTTGCTTAAAAAGCATCGGACTGCCAGATGGCGCGGAGAGGCAACTGCCGCCGTCGGTGAAGAGCATAGTGTCGGCCTCCCGCGCAGCCTTTCCGTTAGGCTTCGGGCACAGTACTAGATATGTCGCCCCTGGTGTCGCTCTTGTCGGGTAAGATTTACTGTTTACGGGTAAAACTACAATCGATTTCAATAGAACATAATAAAATGCAAACTAATCAATAATTAACCTGATTAAAGGAATCTGCAGATGTTTAATAGTTAGTACAAATAATCAATCGATTAATTAATTATAACGAATTTCATTTAGAGAGTATTCATGTGATAAAACCAATATAACTTGATTACATCTTCATTAAATACTATTGAAACAAAGTATAAATCATCTGGTTGATACTGTGTATATAAATTTAAATAATTTAACTCTTAAGTTATAGTAAATGTCTTGACAATTTAAATTAATCCAAAAAACAACATACTCGCACCAATATAATCGTTACACAAGTATGTTCTCAAGGTACCATTAGCATCACAGTGTATTCTAGGATATCCTATCAGCCAGCTTTCTACTATTCCCAATTACATTTAAAAAAATGCTGGACTATATCCGGTCATGTTGAGTATTCTGTTAACTACAATATATAGATTAAAATATGTTTTACCTACATTCAGTGGTTGTTTCAATATTTGTTATAAGAATAACAATAAGATAACTAGGAAAATAAATTTCTAGTTATGATTCATCTATTATACTATATATTTATTTTATATGTGTCATTATTTATGTTTATTTCCAGCGATGCAGCGCACCGAGTACATCCGTTGGCGGGACAAGGCGTTAACCTCGGCTTCGGCGACGTAAAGGATCTCACCGAATTTCTGGCGGATGCCATCTACACTGGATTAGATATAAGTAACTATACATACATATTATACTTTTAATAAAAATAAACCTAACTTCCAATTGGTAAAATAAGATTTAGTGATACATTCGTCTAAAAAAGAACAACTTTCAAAACCTATTTTAGTAAAACCGTCAGCAGGCAGTATAATATTTTATAAGAAAGGATTGCTTTTTTTACTTGTTTTATCACCAGTTTTTAGAAAACGATTTATAAATTCATATTTTCGAAACAAAAATATCCACAGAAAAGCCAGTCTAATTTAGTTCGAATAATCCCCACCAAGTTGTTATGGTGCTGGCTCGAAACCATGATTTGAGATACCAAGAGAGAAAACAGTCGGAGTTCTAATAATGAACGTCATAAGATAAAATTATAACAAAACAGAAATTGCTAGGAATCTAATCAAAATGAGTACAGAATTGTAGGTCCTCATAAGCGTTATTTAACCCTTTGCACTCCAGCCTTGTAGCTCATAGAGGATACCAATAACTCATTAACTTGACAATAATTTATTATAATGTAAATATTATAAACATACCGTAAATACTGTAGACACTACAGACGGTTTCGTTTACCTAAGTGTTAAGGGCGCTGAGTCAGTAAAACAATCGCGTCGCCGTAGCCGCGACAGTGGATTAATTGTTAGCATTTTAATGTCGCAAATACGGCGACAACGGAGTGCAAAGGGTTAATAAATACAATGGAATAAGGCAATGGCGACATATGGTAAATAGGCTGAAATGATAATAAAGACAGCCTATCATCGTTTTTTATTTATTTCGTTTAGAATTTAGGAATGTACCTGTTTTCATATCAATGCAACAATTCTGGAATTTTCAACTAGGAATTACGCAATGCCTAATAAATACTTAGGTACCTATGTTGACACGTTATTATGCAATTAACTAATTATTTATAATTATTTAATTGTCATTAGTTAATTTTTCTCAAACATGCTTGGAAATGTGAGGAAAGAAATTTGATCTCTGGATCACATTTTTTTTTCTTATAGCTCATCATAGCTGGTTAGAAAGATATGAGAGTTCACGCCAAAGGCACAATGTGCCTACTCAGATAGCGGTGGATGCTCTGTATAGGCTGTATACAGTTGATCTCCCACCAGTCGTGCTCGTCAGGAGTTTGGGCACTCAGCTTACCAATGCATTGCAACCTATTAAGGTGAGTAAATTATATTGATACCATAGTGTCAAAGTAGCAGTAATAGCACATCAATAGAAATGTAGTCTAAAACACCCATTGCTACCAATATAGTGTGCATTATCAGGTCGACCTCTACGCGGTTCACCCCTTAACCATCGTTATACATTTTTTATTTGAATTCGTTACGATGAACCAACAAACCTATCATCTCTCACTACAACCCTGCCAGAATATACCGATAGCGCACGCGGGGATGCCGTTCCATTTTCACCCATAAAAAAAAGATCTATAAATAGATCGATATATAATTTATTTGCATTACTTACAGCACATAAATAACAACAGACATAAATAGACATGCACAGTGAAATAAGATAATACATATAAAAAAATAAAAATACAACAAAATGCATAAAAAAGCAACAATCCCTTCTCTTCCTTTCCCCGTGTGCCACAGTAATACAAAATGGCTACAATTCAAGTTATTGCTTTGCCCTCAAAAGAGCAAAACACTCATTTTCTGTTGTGGTTAAACTATCTATCAACTAACTATCTCTATCAACTGTCTTGAAAAATAATGTTGCTAAAACTATTACGATTTAAAAAGGAAGTTATCCGACGACTTAAAAAAAAAAGGAAGCAGTTCTGGTTCGGTGCTATTTCTTTTTTCTTAATAATAATAATAATAAACTCTTTATTGCGTACTATAGAGATGTATACAAAGAGTATTTATACAGAATGTGCATATACAAATGTGCGACCTTATCGCTAAAAACAATCTCTTACAACAAATCTTATAATTCCATCAGTTTTTTTTTTTTTTTGTGGTACAATCTTATGAATAAAAACAGTAACTATTGTACTCACTCACACTTATTGCATTCAAAGATAAACAAAATTATCCACATATTTAGACAAAAACCAGTGCTAGAAGCAAGGTAAAGGAACGTATTGTTCCTTTACCTTCGCCTAAAGATAAAATAACAATAAACAAGGGCAGTGGCCTTTTATCTACATTATTTATGTACCTTTAGTACTACACAGTCAGTTTTCACCGCGTGGTTTTATCCTCATAATTATATTTAGGTTTTATCCACACTGCGTGTAACTTCTTATATTTTCCATATCTACAATAATATTATAAAGAGGAAAGGGTTTTTTTGTATATTTGTTTGTAATGGATAAACTGCAAACTACTTCTAATGATTTTAAAAATTCTTTCACCTATAGTAAGCTACATTATAAACGAGTCAGTAGGCTATATTAATATATATTTTCTATTTACCCGTGCGAAGTCAAGATGGGGGTCGGTAGTTATAAAATTGAAAGTTAAAAGCGCGCATAAACATTTGTAGTTTACGCTCTTAATCTTAAAATTGCAAAATTGTATCTACAAGTCTTGAATTACTTGACAGCTAAGAGGCCACGATAATTCTACACTACAATAAATACATTCCTTAATTTAATTGCATCATATCCAATGTATAACTTATATAGACATATATTACAAAGGTATTTGCATAATATTAGACATTTCACTATTGTTACACATAATTAAATTGTCTAAATTAATACGAAGTTACAGATAGCAATGTAATAATTATAATACATGTTAATAAATAATAATAACGTTTATAATTAATGTTATATATATTCTATTTTTGTAAGTACTTTTTATATTTAAATTGAATTTTTTTACATTTAAAATTTATATCATGTTATTGAAATATAAAAAGCAAATCGTATCAAATTGAAAAAGCCCATTTTTGTTATCTGTTTATTTCATTATTACTTTGTATACACGACTAGACAGAGATAAAAAGTAGCCTATATCCTTTTCCATCTCAAATACTATATAAGTTAATTATGCAGTTAAATTGTCAGAAGTTAAAGATCAAACTCACATACATATTTATAATATTAGTAAAGGTTCAATACATACAAGACCCAATAATTTAAACAAATAATTCAACCTATGAATTTTTTTATTCGTATTAATACATTTAAACGACTTCTCTTATCAGCTATATGCGATATACAACTTTGGCCTTACCTGCAGTTATTGCTATTGAAGTAAAATGGCTGTCACGTTGACTAATTACTGTGGCCACGCTATGATAAATGTTATCATTAACAGATAATGAAATTACTTAAACGGCGTGTATTGTATTTATTAACAATATATATTCCTTTATGCTTTCTAATGAATAATTAGTAGATGTAATCAGTGTAATATGACAATTGGTTATAATTATTGATATCGGTTTACACATACATTAACTTAGTATTAAATAATAAAAATATTGTATAACTCACCATACTCACCATTCTTTAATAATGAGTCATTTAATAGTATCATTACTTTAATGATAATTTCAACATAAATTTCTTTTTGTTCCAGAAATTGATCATGTCACATGCCACGACGTAGAAGAATGGAAATGTTGATAATAATTACTTTAAAGACAGAGACGGTGCTTAGAATACTTAGGTATAATAAATACATTTTATGTAATTTTTTTTTTATACAACTTAGAATGGCAAACAAGCTGACGACCCACCTGATGGAACGTGGTAACCGTCGCCTATAGACATGAGCTGTACCATGGACATAACAGAGTATACTGTTTCGCCCATGATACCCCCCATACGTTGCCATTCCTGTGGACGCAGATGTTATTCCTCTGTACCCTGTAAATTAACGCCATATCCCACCTTTCAAACCGAAACACAGCCATGCAAACACAACTGCTTCACGGTAGAAACACGAATGGGACAGAGGTACCCAAGCAATCGACTTTTATACAAAGTCTCCCTCTGGTGATTTTTTATGTACATGTTACCTAAATAATTTACAGTGCCTATGAAATTTGACTATTGAGGAGAAGTTATGTATAAAACTAGATAGTTTAGTAATCTTGCGTAAAAAATAAAAAGAATCTTTCCACATTTATATAAGAAAGAAAGATATATCTACTTGGATGTGTAAAAAAAAAAAATTTAAATAGTTTCAATAACTACACTCGCGAGCAACCAAATCGACTCAATCAATTGATTTTACTAAAACGACAAATGTCAATTATAAAAACGATATGGCATTCGAAACCTTAAGATGTCAGCTTTAATTTGATATCATTATCATTGAAATCCATCAATTATTTCCTAAGTAAATGATGTTTGAACGTAAGAGTAGGAAAAATGGGAATTTAGGAAAAGGGCCTAGGTCCCGTATTTTAGAAATTAAACAAAAAATGGTAAAAATTAAAAAAAATATATTAAATCAATACTTTGTATTGCCCCCTCTAGCCCTTATTACAGCCTGCAGCCTGTTTTTCATTGATCTTATCATTTTTTTGACATTTTCTTAAGGAAAGCTGTCCCACTCCTCTAACAATGCTGCCTTTAGCTCATCTATGCTTGAAGGGACTGGATTCCTGGCCCGGATTCTTCTTTTAAGCTCGTCCCATAAGTGCTCATTGGGATTCATATCCGGGCTGAGCGCAGGCCAGTCCATCGTGCGCAATTTGACCTCTTCAAGAAACTGTCGAGTGACTCTTGCCGTGTGACAGCGGGCATTGTCGTGCATTAACACGAAGCCTTCGTCGACAAACCTTGCGTAGGGCACAACATGACCGAGTAGTATGTCGGCGATGTACCGATCAGCTGTCAAGGGTTGAGTCGATTTGGTTTCTCGCGAGTGTATAAACTAACTCCTAATATCGATCTATCTGAATTTAGATAGATGTAAGGAATTGTTATTTGTAACAATATGTATAAAATCAATTCTTTATGGTATTAAATATGTATCTGTATGAATAGAGTTAGAATCTATTTATGTTACTTGCCTAGTCAAAATTAAAAATTATTAGTGGCTAAATTTAATAAAATAAAATATAATTATCAGTATATTTAAAATATTAAGAAAGTTTTATTTGAATATTCGCGACTGTAGTAATTATTTGTATTGCAAGAATACTTACTACTCGTATGTACAAATGGTAAAAAAAGAAACTCTTATAGAATAAAAATTGGATGTAAATCCGTCTGCAACGATTAAATGTGTCGAAGTGAAATATTATTTTATTCCTTTAAAAAATAATGCTTTCTAACCTGTTTAATATTTTAGAATCATAAAACGGATTTCCTCAGTAAATGACGAGGATTCAAGTCTTGAAAATTAATAGAGTATCTAATTTCTTGGCAAGACCCTCGTATTACTTAATAGTAGTGTGCCTTAATATAATAAATGCCAAAGTGTAGATTCGTCACAAGATATCAGTCTCAAGGTTATTTACGCTTTCATGGAACTATACCTACATAAATATAAGGATGAGGTCGATACGTTGTATTTCGGTATTTGTTCGGGAGAATAATAAGCTAAATGTAAATAATGAAAAGGGATCATAAGTAGATCTGAATACCTTAATAATTTTTTTCACACAATTGTTCCCTAATATAAATTACAGGGTTTTGAGTAGTTTTAATGAATAAAGATGAAATGGTGTGCCTGTCTACGCTAACAATGTACAATGACGCTATAACTGTGGAGGATGGAAGGGTAAAGCAATGAAAATGAAGCTAGGTCAGTTAGCCCATAGTGGCCAATACGTTTTTTATAAACCACGATAGCTTCCAAGGAGGCCCGTGTTGAGCTCGACCTGACAAGATATATTATTACTAGGAATAGAGGGTTAGTGTCCATATTACTTACACTCTCTTTCCCTTTTTAAATAAATATAATGTATAAGGGACGTATCAAAATAATCGTTTCGTCTTATGAATGATTATTTTGATACGGATATTTCGGTATTCCGAAACAATGTAGGTAGCTCGGCGTAGTGGGGAGCCGGAGACCGTAATTCCACCGGTAACGGACGCGGAGATGAGCATGGCCGTGGACAAGCTCTGGGCGAAGTCCACAGCACCCGGGCCGGATGGATCTTGGAGACCGACTGAAGCGGGTTTTCAACGCCTGTCTTCAGTCGGGGCAATTTCCGAGCCGGTGGAAAACAGGTCGACTGGTTCTCCTGCTGAAAGATGGGCAGCCCTTGGACTCCTCGTCGGCCTTCCGGCGCATTGTCCTCCTGGACGAGGTGGGCAAGCTCTTTGAGCGTGTCCTAGCCCACCGCCTCAATAAACATCTGAGGCAGGTAAGCCCTGATCTGCCCCAGAATCAGTACGGGTTCCGAGAGGGCAGGTCAATGATTGACGCTATAGCCGACGTAAGGGCCCTCGGAAGAGGCTGTTTCCCGTGGTGGGGTGCTGTTGGCGGTTTCACTCGATATCGACAAGACAGATGGCGCTGTTAGCCACGATAACAATAGCTCCATGTAAAAAATTGTAAATAAAATATTTTTCATACTCTTTTATCATTTATATATTACTAGCTTTCGCCCGTGGCTTCGCTCGCGTGGATCTTGGTTATTGCAATGTGCAATTTTTGGAAATAATAGATTTATTTGAATAAGGATTAATACTCGAGTATGAAAATACCACCCAGACGGCGATCAGCGTGGTTATTCGTAATTTTAGAAAGAAAAAGGATTATTGTGACCTAACCGTAATAATTAGACATATGCTATCGCGGGCTTATTTGTAGATCTCAATGAGTACTTTAAAAACGTAGAACATTGTTTTTCATTATAAGCAACTATTTTTTTTTTTTTTATACAACTTAGAATGGCAAACAAGCTGACGGCCCACCTGATGGAAAGTGGTAACCGTCGCCTATAGAAATGAGCAGTACCATGGACATAACAGAGTATACTGTTCTGCCATTCCTGAGGACTCAGGTGTTATTCCTCTGTACCCAGTAAATTTACGCCATATCCCACTCTTCAAACCGAAACACAGCCATGCAAACACAACTGCTTCACGGTTGAAACACGAATGGGACAGAGGTACCCAAGCAATCGACTTTTGTACAAAGTCTCCCTCTGGTATTTAGTCAGTGTGCGCAAGATAAGCGAATTTTATACAATTTTTCTTCCGACTTGCTCGACATAAATGATCAAAGGATGTTAATTTTTAGCGTGAATTTACTGGGTACAGAGGAATAACACCTGAGTCCTCAGGAATGGCAACGCATGGGGGGTATCGTGGGTGAAAAAGTATACTCTGTTATGTCCATGGTACTGCTTATGTCTATAGGCGACGGTTACCACTTTCCATCAGATGGGCCGTCAGCTTGTTTGCCATTCTAAGTTAAATAAAAAAAAAAAACTATCTGATGAAAAAAACCGCATGAAAATCGATTGCGTAATTTTAAAGATTTCAGCATCTGACCCGCGCGGGTACCTTACTCTCATTGCCTGTTGCATAGAGACTGACAGGTCTCCGGCGTGTTGGTCTATATCAGACGGGGTCGAGGCGGCCGTCATGGGCGTGTTTTCCTACATCGAGTCCCTGTATTTTATCCAATCGTTCCGGCGGTGGATGTCCTCGAGAAGGAAGGACTTCCTGCGTCGATTGGCTATCTAGACCTCTGTATAGGGCGAAGTCTAGAATGTCGGGCGCTTGCAATGTGTTGTATGTAAGGATAGTGAGTTGGAACCTCTGGTCCGTGAACGGTGATATCCATTCTCTCAGCTATCCGTAGTCCGTATGAAATAGAAATAATGCTTTCAAATATTATATAAAATTAAACTAGCAGTAATTAGTGAATAGAAACGCTAACAGATTATACATTATATATATAAAAAGATTTCGACCGCCGCCGCCATTTTGCAGACAACTGCTGCGCAGCACCTTGTTCCCGTTTACCTGCGGCTATATAAGGCCCTCATGACGTCAGCGCCCACATTCATTGCTCAGCGTTGGTGTAGTTTAGACGTGCTCTTGTGTCGCGCATTATTTCACAAGTATTTCAAGAAGCGAATTGTGTGTAACATTGTCTCACGGCAATATTTTCTAACCCATTTTTATCCATAACCATGGGTTACATTACAAACGACAAATCTGTTGTTGACACTTGTGAGAGTAAAATCGAATCACTCTCAAATTGGATCCGTCAAGTTAAAAGCAAATCTCGCAGTGCCAAGAAAAACAAAAGTCGTCATCTCAGAATTATCGCGATTTTGAGCACCTCTCTATCACGTGCCGAGAATGAGCTCATTGCGGAACAAAGAGAACGTGCCAGAATTTGGGCGGAAATGGAAGCAGACCTCGGACCAACAACAAATAAGGAAGAAGAAATGGCCAGGCAGCAGCGAGAGAAAATCGACAACATATGGAAGAATGAACTGAGCGGGCTAGATAATTTTTTTAAAGAATTAGACAATGTCAAACCAATGTCTAATTCTTCTAGTAAACTAAGTAAATAATACTCACACATACGCCTACACGGCATGGAACTCAAACACTGACACCAATAATGGAATATCGCTACTACGGATAGCTGAAGAAATTAAGTCGTCGCCGGCGTCTTCTAGGTATCGATCGCAGCTCTCCTTCCTATGGGACTCGATGTCTCGCTTAATTTCTTCCGCGAGTTTATTCAACCTCGCCTTAAGGGTGGTGCATTTTGTCCACTGCCAGTCTCTACGCAATTGACGTTTCTGTTCGAGCTTCTTTTTGGTTGCTGCCGGGATCCGTTCATTGGTCCTGTGTACGTACGTACAGGTCCCGGCTGGGCTGCGACCCTCATTGCCTGTTGCATAGAGACTGACAGGTCTCCGGCGTGTTGGTCTATATCAGACGGGGTCGAGGCGGCCGTCTTGGGCGTGTTTTCCTACATCGAGTCCCTGTATTTTATCCAATCGTTCCGGCGGTGGATGTCCTCGAGAAGGAAGGACTTCCTGCGTCGATTGGCTATCTAGACCTCTGTATAGGGCGAAGTCTAGAATGTCGGGCGCTTGCAATGTGTTGTATGTAGGGATAGTGAGTTGGAACCTCTGGTCCGTGAACGGTGATATCCATTCTCTCAGCTATCCGTAGTAGCGATATTCCATTATTGGTGTCAGTGTTTGAGTTCCATGCCGTGTAGGCGTATGTGTGAGTATTATTTACTTAGTTTACTAGAAGAATTAGACATTGGTTTGACATTGTCTAATTCTTTAAAAAAATTATCTAGCCCGCTCAGTTCATTCTTCCATATGTTGTCGATTTTCTCTCGCTGCTGCCTGGCCATTTCTTCTTCCTTATTTGTTGTTGGTCCGAGGTCTGCTTCCATTTCCGCCCAAATTCTGGCACGTTCTCTTTGTTCCGCAATGAGCTCATTCTCGGCACGTGATAGAGAGGTGCTCAAAATCGCGATAATTCTGAGATGACGACTTTTGTTTTTCTTGGCACTGCGAGATTTGCTTTTAACTTGACGGATCCAATTTGAGAGTGATTCGATTTTACTCTCACAAGTGTCAACAACAGATTTGTCGTTTGTAATGTAACCCATGGTTATGGATAAAAATGGGTTAGAAAATATTGCCGTGAGACAATGTTACACACAATTCGCTTCTTGAAATACTTGTGAAATAATGCGCGACACAAGAGCACGTCTAAACTACACCAACGCTGAGCAATGAATGTGGGCGCTGACGTCATGAGGGCCTTATATAGCCGCAGGTAAACGGGAACAAGGTGCTGCGTAGCAGTTGTCTGCAAAATGGCGGCGGCGGTCGAAATCTTTTTATATATATAATGTATAATCTGTTAGCGTTTCTATTCACTAATTACTGCTAGTTTAATTTTATATAATATTTGAAAGCATTATTTCTATTTCATACGGACTACGGATAGCTGAGAGAATGGATATCACCGTTCACGGACCAGAGGTTCCAACTCACTATCCCTACATACAACACATTGCAAGCGCCCGACATTCTAGACTTCGCCCTATACAGAGGTCTAGATAGCCAATCGACGCAGGAAGTCCTTCCTTCTCGAGGACATCCACCGCCGGAACGATTGGATAAAATACAGGGACTCGATGTAGGAAAACACGCCCATGACGGCCGCCTCGACCCCGTCTGATATAGACCAACACGCCGGAGACCTGTCAGTCTCTATGCAACAGGCAATGAGGGTCGCAGCCCAGCCGGGACCTGTACGTACGTACACAGGACCAATGAACGGATCCCGGCAGCAACCAAAAAGAAGCTCGAACAGAAACGTCAATTGCGTAGAGACTGGCAGTGGACAAAATGCACCACCCTTAAGGCGAGGTTGAATAAACTCGCGGAAGAAATTAAGTCGTCGCCGGCGTCTTCTAGGTATCGATCGCAGCTCTCCTTCCTATGGGACTCGATGTCTCGCTTAATTTCTTCCGGTCCGGTCCTTGTTACAGGTCCCGGCTGCGCTGCGATGTCCATGGCGTGCTGTATGGAGACTGACAGATTAGCAGCGAGTTCTTCGACTTCAGACGAGGTTGAGACTGCCATCATGGGCGTGTTGTGCTCCATCGAGTCCCTGAATTTCACCCAGTCGATCCGGCGGCGTGGGAGACGCGGCGTCAGGAACGTCGGTGTTTGTGGGATAACCATGCACACCGGCAGGTGGTCGGATTGGATGTCCTCGAGGAGGACTTCCTGCGTCGGTTGGCTGTCTAGTCCTTTGTATAAGGCGAAGTCCAGTACATCTGGAGCATGTGCTGAAGTGTAGGGATAGTGAGTTGGAACCTCAGGGCCGTGCACGGTGATATCCATTCTCTCAGCTGTCCCTAGTAGTGCTTTTCCTTCTGGCGTGTCGTTGTTGGAATTCCAGGCCGTGTGTTTGCAGTTCCAATCGCCTGCGGCGACAGTGGGCAGCTGCGAATCGAAGATGACGGCGACGTCTGCAGCTGCAATCCTGTTCAGTGGTGGTTTGTATACTGCAAACACACGGATGGGGCTTCTGTCTACGCATAGCTCGACACCGAGTGCGTACATGGATGTGAGATTCACCCGGGGGAGCGGTTGATGCACTACGTTCCTTTTCACCAGGACAGCCAACCCGCGATATGCCTTCTGGCCGTCCGTAATCTCGTCCTGTCGGTATGTATGGTATCCTGGAATGCGGAGTGTGTCGAGAGCTCCCAGTAGTGTCTCAGAAATGAGACACACGTCGACACGGTACTCCACAAGCAGCGTCCGGAGCAGAGTTGTCTTCTTGCGGACCCCGTCCGCATTCCAGTGCAGCAATCTTAGTCCCATTTAGTGTTGGAAAGCCTCGCCATTCCTGCGGTGATCGCCGGCACTGGGTCCGATCCGGCTTGCACCGCAAGTAGCACCTCCATCAGGATGGTGAGCATAGTTTTCACCATGTCTGCCGTGCTTGTGTTGGTGGAGGTGCTGGTTTCCTTAGCACGCTTCGCCATCTTCCCCTTGCTGACGACTTGTATCTGTGCTGCCTGTGCTGTAGGTACGGCAGCGGCGGTTTTTTTTGGGGCTGCAGTTGCTGCATCAGTTGTCGCGTCAGCATCAAGGGCGGCGACCGCTGGCGGGCGTGTAGTGTTGTTGCTGCGTGCGGGGGCCTGCTCCGCGGACCCGGAAGCATTTTTCTTTTTGTTGCCTCTGCTTTTTCTCCCCCTCTTTCTCCTCTTCTGAGGCGGTTTCCGCGACCGCTCTGTTGCCGGATTGGCCGGGGCCATTAGGTTGCCCCTGTCCACGGCTGTGGGGACTGTGCGATCTTTGTGTGTCGATCTGGAGCGAGTTCTGGCGGTGGCTCCTGCCTTTCGGTTTCTTAGAATGTGGGCGCTGACGTCATGAGGGCCTTATATAGCCGCAGGCAAACGGGAACAAGGTGCTGCGCAGCAGTTGTCTGCAAAATGGCGGCGGCGGTCGAAATCTTTTTATATATATAATGTATAATCTGTTAGCGTTTCTTTTCACTAGTTACTGCTAGTTTAATTTTATATAATGTTTGAAAGCATTATTTCTATTTCAATTTTCAACTTCGTCGGAATTTAATTATAATGTATCCACACACTCGAGAACACAATTTTTAATAAAACAATTATTTTTATAACGGTCAAGTAAAGTTTCAAATTGTACCCGACGTGGAACAAGCGACCACAATTTTTATTATATTTATAAATATACTAGACATATAATAGACAATGAAGTATTATATATGTACCTAAATATAAACCATTTACTTGTAACTTCTACATGCATAACCCATTTGTTTGTGTCTATCGTCTCTACCTACGGCTAGGTAGTATTTTCGCTGGCTGACAATTTGCTGCATATACATATATATGTGAATTCAATTAGGTAGAATTCAGAATACAATAAGTTCATCAATTCATCGGGTACTGGACAGTCAAGAATTCAATAAACCAAAATTGGACAAACTGCAATTTAAATATTATATCTTATATTAGCTCGTATCTACACACACTGTTCCTAAGTAATTGTCATGGATTGATGGATGGTATCGAAAAATTTTGTAATAAAGATTTTTTTTTTTCGAAATAACTGTCACCTTAACTAGATAATATTGCTTTGTTGCATAACAGTAGGGTTTGGGTTAAAGTTTTGTTTCAGTAAAGTGTCACAATGTGTAGTACAGTATATAAAATAGTGTGTGTAGTACAATGGAACCGGTGACTTGTATCCGTCGAGCATCACGAGCGAGTGACACAGAGCGTAGAGGAATTCCTATCGGGCGAGTCCCCGCCGCTGATAGGCGTAGAATTTATCTCGCCTGCCGAGCTGCGGAGCCCGATGGAATTTCCAACGCCGAATTAATGCAGTTGCCGCGAAGATGCCTGGTAGCGTTCAACAGGCTTTTCAATGGAATCCTCCGCACCGGCTATTTTCAAGAGTCCTGAAAACTGGGTAGAGTAATCGTCCTCCCCAAACCACGTAAAGATCGCCGCCTGCCAGGAAGCTACCGCCCCATCACGCTACTAGCGCACATGGCTTAGCTGTTTGAGAGGTTGTTGCTCGGGCGGTTAGCCGGGCATTTCACTCCTAGAAGTGAACAGTTCGGCTTTCGGCCCGGGCACTCGACCAATCTGCAGCTGGCGCGCGTGCTGCACAAACTCACTGCCGAGTACAACCACGGTCGAGTAGTGGTCGGTGTCTTTTTAGACATCGAAAAGACATGCGACGATTTTTGTAAAATGTGTTCAGATCGCGTCGAGTGGGGTGTCTGCGCGCTCGGGACGACGCGCACGGCAAGGGAAAAATGAAAGAAAAAATCTGGGATGGATAGGTGAGGATAAAATTAGGGAGAAGTGAGCGGAAGTTGTGTTAGGTGTTAGGTTAGGTTAGAGTTTACGTATAGGAGGCGCGCGGGGAGGGGGTGGTACGGAATCAATACGAAACGGTTGGGGGCAATCGAACTAACGAACTGGACGCGAAAACCGATAAGATATCTCAAACACCTTCTATACATGCTGCAACAACGTTATTGGCCGATACGATTCCGGTTGCAATACGTTTTTGCCGGTGTTAGGCAGCGTGGTAAATTTGCCTATCTTCCACGGGTCTGAG